TCCAGTCAATATTAGGCGCCTAATAAATCTCAACATTGGTGTCAGGGATGCTCATCACAGAATTCAGGTAACTATGGAAACAAAAACGGATTTACGAATCTGGGAAACTTACATAGAATCCTAACACTGATAAAACATGTTGCTGCATTTAATCAATGAACTATCTTTCATATCATGATAGTGAATTGACTTAGGAATGAAAGCACTATAAAATTATTATAATCTTTGGCTGAATTTTGTAATTTTGAGATTCTCTTTCAGGATCACAGCTAGGGGCCTGTCCACAGCATCAATCAGCAACCATGCTAGCAGCCTGCTTTTTTCATTGAAGTACATTCATCGCAGAGAGGCACCCAATTTTGCCAACGTACCTATCATCACTATGGCTACATTGCTACAGAGACAAGAAGACGTTGTGCGCCACAAAAGACAAAAGGACCTCCAAACGTTATGAGGTGACTAGTGAGTAAAGGTCGTCTCTCGAGTATGCTTAGCTTTAAGCGCCTTGGGAATGCAAGTTGCACTTTTCCTGTTATTTCGATGTCATTTTGTGTGAAGAATGTGCACTGGAGTTGTTGTAGACATCGTTCTTTAGTTCACTAATTTGTGCAAAAAAACATACCAGACAACAGTGTTGAATCCACTTTTTTACCGCTGTTGGACTTTTCCAATGTTTTGGATTTTCCTGGAGCCAAAAACCTAAGCTGCTTCTAAAAATTTAAGAAGAAGGCAGTTTTGTCTAGTGATTCGTCCTTCTGGTAAAGAAAAGGGTTGTTCGATGAAACCCGAACCCCATCCAATGGATTGGTCGGATCTGTTCGGTAATTGAGCTCACAGATAAGTGATTACTTGAGTTTGATTACTGGATGTTAGATTAGCTATGCTGGGAAACGTTGTAGGTTTCCAGACCTCTTCTCCATCTCTCCTTTTCTTTTCTTTTTGTTTCCATGGACGAAGTACTGAAAGCGACGTCACTCCCGCTTTTGCCTTTGGTAGTGGCTTGCAGCAAGAGACATTGTGCACTGCTGATTTTTTGTTGCTTCTCTTTCTACGTCCACATACCACCGAGCAAGGGACTGGAAAGACGAACGCTGGAGGTAGTCAAGGAAGTCTCTTGGGAGAACCTTTTACAGCAGCTCATTACCATCTACATACAGAATTACAAGACCAGCAAGTACGCAGGAAGGGACACAGTTTCCATACAGGTGAATTGAAACAAAGACAGAAAAAGGACAGAAATATCGAAATGTTATGGATGTTTGTTTATGAACAGCATATTCCATCTGCTGCTAAGAAACTTAAAAAAATCCCCGTGATTAAGAGAAAGAGCACAGTTGAAACAATCCTGAAAAAAAATTTTGACGCCTGAAAAAAAAAAAAAGCATTTGCTGACAATTTACTAAATGGTCACTCTCTTTCTGCAGGTAGGCAGTGAACTTTGCAGGTTCTTCTGACAGTGTGTGCCAGAATTTAGATAAGAACTCAATGCCGAAGAAATGCATAAGCATAAGTGTAAGCATTGTCTTTAGTTTCTCTTGGGAGTTAAAATGGCCCCAAGGCAAACTGAAAACAATGCTTATGCAAAATTTTGGAGTGACCAACAAAGAGTATTATGGTATGTTATTTCCTAGAGTAGTCAATTGGGAGAACCTTTTGCGGCAGCTCGTTTCACCAACAGAAACATAACGCTTTTGCAAAAAGACAAAGTGATTACTACCAGCAAGCACGCACAAAGCGACACAGTTTCCATACAGGTGAGGTTAAAAAAAGACAGAAAAAGGACAGAAATATCGAAATGTTGTGGATGTTTGTTTATGGACAGCATATTCCATCCTCTGCTAAGAAACAAAAAAATCCACGTCATTAAGAGAAAGAGCACAATTGAAACAATCCCGAAAAAAATCTTTTAACGCCTGGAAAAAAAATAGAATTCGCTGACAATTAACTAAATGGTCACTCTTTCTGCAGGCAGGCAGTGAACTTTGCGGGTTCATCTGGCGGTATGCGCCAGAATTTTGATAAGAACTCAGCACCAAAGAAAAAAATGATTTCCTTTTTGTGGTGAGTATCCAAGTAAAAAAAGTAGCCATACCAGCACACGTCGGATTCTATATAGAGCAAGATTCTTGTACCTTTTTCAGTAAATGGTGCTATCTGTTCTTTAAACAGCGCTTTTTCAATTATTTATCATTCATTCCTTCATTAATCTGCTGTGCACACTCGCATTTCAGACTGCAAATGGACAGCCATATTCAGAGAGCACTTTTTCAAAACGCGTCAAGAACCTGATCGTTGGTCTGTTGTGTAGACAAATCAACAAAAATTACTGAACGTTTTCTTATTTTCAATTCTTATTTTAAATTCTTCTGGTTGCCCCAGGAAACATTGATTATGATCCTTGATATGTTTTTGGTGATTTGGATTGCTTGATCGTCAAAGGATTTGAAGATATCAAGGTTCAAACCTTGTAACCTCAAGTGTTGCACAAGTGTCATCAAAAATTGGAAACCAAAGAGAAAAATGTTTGTAAAAACAGTGTTGTAAATATTCTTCTTTTGACATGTCAAAGGACATCATATATCCTAGGAGTGAGGAAAAATTGACCGTCAGAGAAACTATATGTTCATGTTGAACAAGATACGCTTATCTCGTACTTTACTGAGGGTCATTTTGAAATTGACTTTCTCTCCCTTTAACTTGTGGCATTGTAGACATTCTTCTTATCTCAAAATATATTCAATGTTATCCATTAACCTTGCAACTTGGTTTGTTAATTCTCTTTTTATGGTCGAAATAGTAGGCAAATCAAAAATCAGCAAATTTTGTTGACCATCTCTGAAACAACCGTTCTGTGCGAAAGAGGTCCAAGATTTTGACATACTAAGGCTGAGACACAAACCTAATGCATACCTAAGTTTTGAGTGCTTTGGTTAAAATGGGTATGAATAACACACATTCAAGGTTGAAGGAAATTTTTTTTTCGTGAACACGATTGGGATAACAAATAAATTAAAGAATTCAAGGTAAGTCAAATTGATTTCCCTGCACATGAAGGGCATTTTCTGGGCTTTACAACGACGCCTTAATTATTACTGGGAGTGAAAGATTGATTTTTTTAGCGATTTTTTCTACTTTAACTTATACCCTATAACATTTTGTGACACACACACCGTCAACTTGCTACCAAGTCATCTTGGGGTGAGTACACGCTTTTTGTGATGGTCATGTGCTAAAAGAAATGTGTTTAGTGAGAGTGAAGTTACATGACAAGTCATTGGAGACAGTGAATGGTTGCATCATGGCGTATTTGGAGTGGAATGGTACCAAACACAGACGGACAAAAAGACAAAAAGTGCAAAGTTTGATGAAGACATCGTCAGACTGGGACTCTGCCACTCGGACAAGACTGCTAAGTCGTTTTATTTAAGATCAGATAAAACATGTGTTGCAGCCCAATCAGCCGACATCATCGCATTGTGTACCATCAGGAAAGCGGCAACAGCATCAACCAACGAGCAATTGCACTACCAGTCAGAAAAAGAAAAAGTCAGTACTTGGACCAGTCCAAAGGTCCCAGCAATTGAATCCATGGTTGAAGATATGGAGACACCAGAAAGTCCCAATTGTTCCAGTCCGAAGGCACCAACAATTGAATCCAGGGTTGAAGATGTGGAGACGCCAGAAAGTCCAATTTGTTGCAGTCTGAAGGGACTATCAACTGAATCCATCATCGAAGTAGTGGAGATGCTGGAGAGTCCAGAGTCTTCAAGTCCTCAGAATCCTCCCTCAGATGACAACCTGACAACACCAAGCACTTCTAAAACATCGAGAGCGACCGGTGAAGTTTCCAAAGATAGTCCATCGAGGGCTAAGGAAAAAAATTAAAACGACCAGTAACTGAGACCGAGAAACCTCAGATTGTGAACTAGAGATGCGACCAAATAGCCTAACTTTCAGGCAGCAACAATGTTACTGATTGCTCATATAGGAAACACAAAGTTTTTGGCCAATTGATGCCATTTAGAATTTTTATATATTTTTCAAAGTAACTAATTTAGTCGGTTTTGAAGAACATAACTTTCCTTTTTGGCGACAGTGCACAGCAGATTTATCCAAATGAACTGAAATTTAGCCAGAGGCAATGTCATCATGTGCAAATAGAAGAATAAGGTAGTTAATAACTGATTAATTAATAATTGGATAATATTAATTAATAATTGGAAACGTTTCAACCGATTTATCCCTTAAATAGTACTTTGACTTCCAGTTATCCCTTTAATAATGAACAAATAAAACATAATAAGTAAAGAAAAATTAATAGTAATTATTAGGGAAATAGAATTGAGCAATTTTTTAAAACTTCAAACTTGGAAACTTTTCAACCAATTGATCTTTTAGACGGTACTATAGCCCCTTAATTTGTAATACAATTATTAATTAATAATCAATTAATAATCAATTAATAATTGGAGAATACTAATCATTAATTGGAACCGTTTTAACCTATTAACCCCTTACAATAAATTACCTAACACTTTTACCCCCAAAGGACCTAAAAAGGTCAGCATCTCACCAAAAAAGATCAGCATATCACCACAAGAGGTCATGACCTTTTCATGACTAAGACAGTTCGCCCCCTCCCTGACGAGACTGCAAGTGGTGAGTACATGCTTTTTTTGCTCCATAAATTATCACTTTTTGCACCTTCCAAAGGCTAGATAGAGGCAACTGAACTATCAGATAGGTTTTCTAAAGTGCTCGAGCTACTCTTGGTGATATTTTGCTTGTGCGCAGTCACCAATAAAATTTAATGGGTCGCAGATGTTAATCTAAATAGCTAATTAAGCTACAGACGAGAATGACAAGTACTCTGATGTAGGGAGGATGAGTTGGAAGATGGAGAGGAGGGAGACGAGTTGTCAGGTGACGTGGTGGAAGATGATGAGGACGACCTGTTTGATAATGAGCATAGTGGACTGACGCTGCCCTAAATCCTCAAGATGGAAGAAGGAGACACAACGCGACAAAAGTGGCTGCTTGCATTCTACAAGTACCTCCAGTTGTTAGGTGGCAAGGCATTATCTGCGAAACACGCCAAACAACATGTGAGACAGATCTTGAACATGCTCGACGCGATCGACCCCGACGACCAGGGCCTTAGAGTGTGGCAGTGGGCTATGCCCTTACTCGAAAGTCAAAAGAAGAGACCAGGAACTATTATTTCATATTTAACATCCTTGGAAAAGTTTTTTTAAATTCGCCTTGGACAGGTAGTATGAGAACAAGGCACCATTTCAATTGCCTAAAGCCATGTGCACCTCAATAGAGTGAGCCCAGAAAGACCTTGGTGCTTGGCAGCCAGTTGTGAGAAAGAACTACAAAAAAGACTGGCGGAGGCATCTGAAGGAAATGAAAGTCTCAGTACGCCCAGAAGATGTCAAAGACCTTGACGAGACCGAGCCAGCAAAGAAAGCTAAAAAGTTGTTGAAGGCCCCCTACACGACCCTGACAACAAGGCAGTACTGCAACGTGCCAGATTACATCATTGCCAGTCTGGAGATGTAGAATGGTCAACGACCAGGGTCGTTTGAAACAATACTATTACAGACTATGAAAATGCCTCTGCAATTTTGACTTTTGGGCCCTTCAGCTTTAAGTCTTACAAGTGAAAAGAAGCCTTAAAGCTAAACTGATAGCTGAACTTTAACTCCTCATAACTCAAAGGGGATTTAACCGTTTGAACTCAAACTTGCAACTAGCGTAAGGACTAGTAAGCACTCTATTAAGCTCTTTTATTATTTTTATTGTGCTGAACGTCCGTAGGTAGGCGACTAGCGAAATGACTAGTAAGCACTCTAGATAAGGTATTACTATTTGTATGTTACAGCGATGAATAAAATACTCAAGACTGTCCATGTGGCCCTTAATGGAGATACAGAAGGTGACATAGACAGTCCTAGAAGAACTTGGAATGGACTCCTTATCGTTACCTGAAATTACAGTATGAGACAAGTTTAACACGAATCTGAAGCTAGTAAAGAAACATTTCTAAATCGCAACTCATGTAAGAGTAGGAGCATGACTCCTGGAGCTGATAGCCTTAGAAGAAGCCAACAAGTACCTACTAAAAATCCTGGATTATGTTAACAAAATAATGAACAGTAGATGAAACGTGCTTATTGAAATACATGACAACAATTGTTGGGAACAAGAAGGGGTGGTTTGAATGCCGTGAAGAAAAAACAGTGGCAGCAGATGTTACAGAGTTCCTGGAGATTCTGAGTGCAGCGAGTGACAGCGATTATCAAAGTAGGCACCTTATGCAGCTTGATCTAAACCTCAATCTTTCAGTTGACAAGATGAAAGATGATCCAAACGCATCACGTCTGGTACTCCTGTACAAAACGGCAGTAGAGCTATGTCTAGTGGGTCGTGACTAGAATGGATACTCCAAAATCAGGTATCCGCGCGGAAACTGGGACTGAATAAAATTATTTTCCGGCAAACTCTTCGACTCCTTACCGCCACGACCTGTGTTTTCTGTTGAAGTCATTGTGTAAGCCAAGAATGGATATGGTACTTCAAAATGTGGATCAATGCTCCGATCCGCCGAGGTTAGTTACTTTTGACGTTCATAGCGTAAGCATTAGCGAACAATGATATTATTAATATTTTTCGCCGTGTAAACGGTATAGTTAAGCAGTAAGCTTATTTGTTCGGATAGCTCAGGATATGATGGATACTCCAAAATAAGAATGGAGAAAATGTGAAAGTTCATTTAAAACTGTTACTAGGATTATTTCCATTATTACTTGATTTCTCTTTGAAAGGATATTTGTAACGTTCTTAAAAGGATAAAAGCCAGTACAAATACAGTCAACCATTGTAATACCTTGCCCCCCCCCCCCCCCCCCCCCCCCCCCCCCCCCTGCCCCTCCTCCATAAACCCATACATTTTCAAGGATATTATAAAATTAAAGCTGAACTGGAACCCTTGCAAAAAAAAAAATGCTTTTAAACTTTTAGAATGATTTATTTGTCTCTGATTACTTTAATTTATTTTCGAGGAATTTATAATATTTAGACTGAACTGGAACCATTGCAAAATGAAAAGTCCTTTTAAATTTCTGAAATGATTGTTTTTCCTCGGAATCTCTGACTTTCGTGGTCTGCTCTTGGAATCATCATTTGCTTCGGAACTTGATTCAGATCAAGTTGAGAAACATTTGCAAAGAATTTCCTTTTTTTTTTCTAAGTCGAAAAGGCTCCCCATCGCAGATTCTGGTGGGGAGTCTTTTCTTTTCTTTCTTTCTGAGTCCCAACTGAGATACAAAATGGAGCAAGTAAGATGTTATGGTTGTTCAAACCTTCTGATCCTGGCAAGTCTTGAAGAATGCCGTGCGTATAAAAGAGATTGCTATGGTATATCATTTCACCATAATTGTGTGAGGCAAGAATTTCTAACGTCTAAATGTGTCTCGTGCAATACGTACACAGATGGTCTATTGTTAAAAACCGTTCCATTTCCTGATTTAGTGGTAATTGAGGAAAAACGTTCAGAGCTGGCTCCGTCAAAAATATTGTGCGTTATTTGTATGGAGTCAGAATCTGCGCACTACAAACTTTTAGTAACCAGATGTTGTCGCCAATTTGCCCACATTTACTGTCTTAGAAGATATTATAGTATTGCCGATTTATGCTCGACTAAAGACTATGCTGACGAGGTAACGGCGAGGCTTTATAGCAAAAACTGTTTTGTATGTCGTGGTTCTCCTGAGCAAGAAGCACCGTTAGTTGACAAAGGCTTCCAAGTGTCTCCGCATTTCACTTACTTTCCGAACACCCTGATGAGACAGCTCCACAATCTTTTCTTTATAATTGGATCAACTGGCTCTCTTACCCCAGCAGCCTGAAAATAAGGAAAGTTTACACCTCCATAGGATCTCTCAAGTTTTTGTTTTTGTTTTCCTGTACAACCTTCTCACAGAAATACATTGTAAGTTTTATTTGTAATGCTTTAATATTATTATGATTTCTTCATTGTAAAAATGGCAGTTAAATGCATTCATCAGTTGTCATTAAAGGTTTTATGTTATGAGTATTATATATTAATATTTACAGTTTAAACTTTTGTTATCTAAGGGGAGATGTAACATGTTCATTGACTATTTGCATTACTTTGCCAGTGATGTGGTTCCTGTGTTGAGATGGATCAGGTAATGTTATTAAATATTTCATCCGTGCATTTCCAGCTTTCTTTTCATTTAGAGCTTGGTGGAGCTGTTTTGCAGCAGTAGCTCTGAAGAATGGGGTGTCTCTGTGAACCTGAAAAATTAAAGCCAACCATTGCGAAATTCAGTGACAAGATTATTGACATGGAGATTATATTTCTTTATTTTTGTTAGCAATGTCCTTACTGTGGTATAATTGTGCCTTCATATTCAGGCAAAGGACTTTTATAAGGAAAAGGGGACATTGAGAAATAAATAACCGAAAAAGGAAAAACTAGCCTGCGTCGCAGCCAGCCCTCACATCATCTAGACCATTTGTATGGACTGTCTCTATAAAGAAGGTTGAGAGTGTCTACGACACAGATTTTTTTTCATATATTTAATATTCCAAGTTAGAGTTTCCAGTACATCAAAGAACAAATCGGGTGAATGTGGTGTTTAAAAGGTTAGAGGCCTGTTTAGTGAGCCCTCCCCTACTCCTCCCCATCCCTTGTATTTTTAAGATCAAGCTGGTAAGTGCAGGGTCAAGTGCTTTGCTTTGCAATGCTTTCCAGATGATAGTGCCCCCTTTATCTCAATGTGTGGATTTGTGGCACTGTATGAGGTTATTTTCCTCCTTCATTTATGTATACATTACCCCCACAAAACCAGCACACCTAACTTGAAATTAGGGAATTTGGCAATTTGTTGTATGTCAATTGCCGCTGGACAGTTCTTCTTTTTTGGATACTTGAGTATATGCCCGCTTTTGCTTGTAACAGTGATCATTAACCTAAATGAAGGTAAGTTTAAAATTTACTGTTATTATTATTATTATTATTATTATTATTATTATTATTATTATTAATATTGTTGTTGTTGTTGTTGTTGTTAGACAATTTTCATAAAAAAGATCCCATAAAAAGGAGAGATTCTTACATATGACTATGTATCCTGCAGGTCTTTTTTCTTCCTTTTATCTTTGCCTTGATGGCACCACAAGATTTTCTCACCGATATGTACATAGGGGATGCCATCAAAGGCCAGCTGGTTTGCTCCTGTGACATCAGCTTTCCCTTTTCTCTCCCAGTACACTTTCACATTTTTGGAATTTAAAATCTCTATAAAAAAAGAAAGAATCATCCAGCCCAACAAACTTGTCAAAGATTGAGGACAACACTGAGAGGTGCCAGGACTTCAAGCTTAAGCTTACCACTCGAGCCAAAACTCTTGTCCTTCTTGTATACAATGAAAGCACTCCTTCCTTCTATTTGATAGTCAGAATGATTTTATCCACCTCTGCAAGGCTGTTTAAAACGTGAATTCGTGGAGGAAGTTCCTCCGCATCCGAGGGATTCATCTATAGCAAATTTCACTACAAAACATGTATATCCAGCGTTTCTAACTCTGCGATTTTGAGTTTCCCGCGCGAGACCCTGCTAAGTCATTTACATTCCACTCGCGATATTAAAATCGGAAAGAGAGTCGGAGAGCAAGTCGGAGAGTCGTAGCCATTTGCCGGAAAATGATTTTATTCAGTTCCAGTTTCCGCACGGATACCTGATTTTGGAGTATCCATTCTAGTCACAACCATGTCTAGTGGGCATAAAAATGGATGACGAGCTGCTGCAGAAAATGAACGGCTTCATTCTGGAATATCTGAAATGGTTCCAGAAAGAATCACTTCCAGGAGAAGACTAGTTGTGCAGTCGCAGCTTTGACCCGCAAATGATCTGCACGTCCCTCCAAACTGAGGTGAAAGATATGAAAGCCTTTCACAAGTTTGTGGCTGAGAACAGAAAGAGAAGAATGCAACTATGTGCCGATATCGAAGATGAACTGGATGATTCATCCTACGTCTCATGCACGCCATCCGGTAGTGAGGAAGAGGAAGAAGTAGCAGCACCAAAAGTTGCAGATAAGAAGCGAAAAGGAACAAGACAACCCTAACCCAAGAAAGGTTAAGCTGCCAAAGCTTGACCCAGTGAGGTCACCGAGCCCTGAGTTTGAACATCAACAAAACAAGAAGGAAAGACTGGTGTCCAAAAGGGGAAAACGCATTTGCATCATAGAAGGGAGGAATGCCCCATTTGCAAAAAGGAGATTTATGACATCCGTTGCCACCTGTGGAAACACGCAGAAAAGGGTGACATTGGTGCAGACGAAGTCATGCACATCACCAGTGTGGCAAAAGGGAAAGGTTGGAGGCGAAGCGCAAGTCGTGTTGGTAACGACATCATGTAATTCTCTTTCGCAAGGCCCATCAACCCCTGCAGAAGCAGAAGATTGTGCAGCATCGACCTCCACAGAACCAGAAGCAGAAGTACAGTTTTCGGACAGTAAAGCTGATAGTGAGGAATCTGATGAAGAGTTTGCTCATCAAGACTACTTTACCTGCACCAACCCCATTACCAAACGTCACAAGTAGCTCACAGCATTTTACCAACAACGTCCTCGATGCCGGGCAAAAAAAGGACAAAAACCAGCTCCAGGATGCATGCCACATTAAAACTGTGTTAGGGAGACCCTCGTGGGACAGACATAGAAATCCTCTCTCTAAACGAGGCCAGGTGCCTTGGAGCACGCTAAGATGGGAGACTATCATAGAATGAAGAAAAACCAATAACGTGGTCATTACATGATGCTAGTCGCGCAACACAAGCGGCAAGTTGATGGCCCAGCAGTCATCTCCTTCATGAAAGAGTTAAAAGAAATGCTGGATGTTTATGTTGAGAAGAAACACCCATATCTTTGAAAACCTAAGGATGAGAACCTCTTCCTGAACAACTCCGGCAAGGCCTTTGCAGGAGCAAACATTTCCACGAGAGTGCCAGAGTTTTGGCAGAAAACAGAAGTCCGCCTGGACATACAAGTGACTGCAACCAACACCAGAAAATGGATCGTTACTGTATGCCACCAAAAAAAGTGTGAAGGGGTGGACTATGACGAAAACGTGCTAAGAAGGGCCATGTGCCACTCAGACCGGCTTGCTCAATCGAACTACCTACAGGACGATCTAACCGCAGTTGGAGCTGAGGCAAATCACATTATTGCCATGTGCACAAACCAAACACCTGTTTCCTCAAAGCAACATCGCTTAAAGAAGACCCACTGAATATTGAAGAGCCGCAAGAGGATCCAGGCAACGTTCAGTCGGACAACGAGAAAGATTCTAACACTCGACCACTGACAGCATTGGCAAAAGAGGAGATCAAATGCCTCTTTCAACAGGAAATCGCAGATGTGGTCATCGTCCTCAAAAATGTGCGCTCGAAATTGAGTACCAGCCTGACTTTGCGAAAATTACTGCCTTACAAAGAGATGGTAAGAAAAGTCGCCGACTGCATGCGGTATTTTCAGACAAAGGAGCCAACAAAGGAACCAGAACAGCTGCCTGAAAGTGGCAAACCTAGTAGAACTTCTAATTGGGTTGCATCTCCAACGGAGACGCTGAGTTCCCAAAAATGCGAGTGGTCGAAAGACCACGGGGCCATTATTGTAAAGTACTTTGTTAAACCTGAAAAGGCCATCTCCATACATGAAGTAAGGAAAATGTTTCAAGAAATCGAGGAGTTGCGAAATCTCCTTAAGGAAGAGGTTGCAGCAACGTGTGGACAAAATAAAAAATATGCGGAAGAAAAAAGGCAAGTAAATAACACCTGTACAGCCCTCCAGTAAAAAAAACTCGCTGTGCCCTCGTTACGGCGATGAGGAAGTTTATGTCATGTACATATACGTTGTGTTACAGGAGAAACAGACTTAAAAATAGAAAAAAAAAGTTGTAACGTACAGATCCATATGCCCGAAACTCGGGATTGTCTGCTCGGAATCATCACTTTGTAGGATCCTCGGGCTCTCTCTACCGGGGAGAGAGACTTGCCAAGGGTCTTTTGTTTGAATTTGTAAGTAGTTGATATTTTTAGATGCTAGAAAGCTGTCATTATTTAACATGCCAATGTGAGTAAATATGTAAATAGTTTCCGTTTCCTTCGGGACAGGTGCGTAGATATGTAAATAGTTTCCTTTTCCTTCAGAACAAGTGCGTAAATATGTAAGTAGTTTCCGCTTCCTAGACTCAACCAAGTTGATGTCTTTTAAATTATTCACGTAAATAGAATTGTAAATAGCTACATCTAAAATTATTTACACATTATTTATTGTCAATATTCCTGGACATAAGATTGTATATATTGTAACCTCAATGTAAATATTGTAAAAATGTTGAGTTCTTTAAAAATAAAATAAAATAAAGAATCTCAAGTTGGCCTCTTGAAAACATTTGTCTGGGATAAAACACAAGCTAAGGTAACCAGCCCTTGGAGAGTACCCCATGAGATCATCAGTCCACCATCTTGAATTTGAGCCTTCGAGGTCAGCAGTCGCTCCAATCCCATGAGCTTCAAAAATCAACATGGCGTCCTCGGTCAGAAGAGCCCGTCTCGAATTGAAACTCAAAAAACTCTTTTATCTAATATTTAAAAATTAACATAAAATTTAACTTTCAACCAATAAACTTAACATACCATTTGAAAGATTATATAATGGAGAATCTAAATAACTAAGGTCAGCAAGAAAAGCTAGTAAAGAAAATTAATTAACAAGTAAAAAACTACCATTTTTAATTGGAAAAAAACACCCATTCGTACTTTATTTATTTACCACCAGCATTATCCTTCATAAAGCGCAGATATGTTTACAACTTGGTATTCAGCCGAAGTTCAGAAACAAATGGAGTTGTGAAAAAGCAGAGACTGAGGTCGATTTAAGGCTATCTGTGCTGAAGCCCTTACATGCCACCTGGCTGGTGAGCCTATACAACAACTTAACAGGCAGTGTCGGAAAGCGGCACAATGCAAAAGGATGGAGCAAAGCAGGAATATCTGAAATTGTTCAAGAGAAGACAACCTCATTACTTAAAGATCCATTTGAAAAGATCGAGATCCTTATCTAAAAGCTAATTGGCATTGCCATTGAGTTAAATAGTGCCTCGGTTGATTATATCAGTTGTAGTTGTTCAACGTTTCATCCAGTTGCTTGCTGCATTCCTATTCCATTATGGTTAAATAAAACGTAGAACTAAAAGTTTATAACACGAGCACCAGTGTGCTTGATTCACGAAATTTAATAACTTTGAAAAACGTTGATTCATCAAAATTGCGAAATTATTCTATTCCAAATTCACGAATATAAAGTCACAAGAAAATAAGTGATAATAAACTCTCTTGAACGAGAGTTTTCTACATGGTCCGTGGGTGGTGAGTTTTATTCTATTCTGGGGCTCGATTTTTTTTTTTTTAATTAGCAGTGTGTACGTACCCTCAAGCCATTTGTTTTATTCAAATGAGTATTATCACATCAATTTGATAAAGCACAAGATCATTCTCAGTCATAACGTGTATCCATTACTGTTCAGTGTGAAAAATTACTTTGGCAGTAGCATATTCTTTACTTTTATTCCAAGGTGTCTCGTGGTCTCCAAAGTGGAACCTACAGGCGTGGGAGGTAGCCTGAATGTTACGTTTATGTGTAGTGGGTGTGAAAAAAGGTCGTAGATCTTGTAAGGATCTGCTTTTGTTGAACGAACAGTTCTTGTTGGACTTCCTTAGGTGGTAACTTTTTCCTGGTCTGGCCATGGGTTTGCTAACTTCGATAGAACTTTAAGACAGTATTGGGGGGATTTCATGCATATCAAAGAACAGATACTACGATGTTATTAAACTGGCATACCCACACATACAGGACATTCTTGATGAGAAATGCTTAGAAGAAAAAAAGAATGCAAGATTTATCACTGGATGAACTGGTTAGCTGGCCACGAGCTGTCGTTACTTCTGGTGGAGTGTGGCAAACTTGTGGAAGTTTCAGTAAAAAAATGTACTTTTATAGTATTAACAATTATTTAACTGGCGGATTACTCTGGTACGGACACAAGTGTATGCGGGGGAAGGACGATGTTGTTGAGGAGGACTTGTATTAGGGCACAGCAAAGTCAATGGAGGGTGTTCTAGAAGAAGAATGTTATGACCAGGCAAAGAATGGGGGGTCTAAGGTTGAGGTTGTGTGGCAGGATGGGGAATCAAGTACAGCCAAGTCCATCACTCTGCATCACCCCGCTAGCAAGGTTTCTAAATGTGGAGAACATGTGGGTAGAGCTCAAAGCAATCACTTGAAAGAGGCTGCTAAGTTTTCGGAAGATGTGAAAACCAAGTACAAAGCGAAATTTCCGAAACCGAAACTGTGAAGTGCAAATGCAAACGACACAGGCCTGGTTGTGGCTGCATACGAGATTCAATGATCAAAGTTTCCTGTAAAAAACATTTGTGTTGTCAGCAACAGTGCATTGATCCCGATGATTATGCAGAGTATTAGGGTGCTTTTGAAGTACCATGTGCGTGACATCCATACCTGGGACAAAGATGGTTCTTGTAACTTTCATCCAGTGAGAACTTGCAGTTGCAAGAAATGTGAAAGAAGATGAAATCAAATGCACTGGGGAGCCATACAAGACAAAACTACCACTCAAGTGTGCTTTCCATTGGCTGGCGTACAGAATTGAGTGCAAAAGAAGAGCACAAGAGGCTGACAGCGTCATACACCCCCAAGTGGGTCAAGGCCATTCAAACCTCTGCGAGGCAAGCATCAAAGTTCTTCTTAAACCATTTAAGAACACATTAAAACACTCCTTACGAATTGTGAAACGCTTATAATACGACAAGGTTTTTCATGTTTTCACTCAAGAACTCTACACGCCATTCCAAATTCAATAACCTCTTCCTAATAAACAGTGAACTCCATAATTATAATACTAGAAATGTCCACTCATTTCTCTTGCCACCATGCAGAACGAAGTCCAGGCAGTTCTCAATTCATTTCCAAGGTCCAAAGTTTTATAATTTGCTGAATTCCACTATAACTGGTTCGTCCTCCTCCACTTCTTTTAAAAGAAAGCTTAAAGAATTCCTTCTTAGTACATATTAGCTTCGGTATGGCTCTAATTAGATTAGATTAATTAAATAACATGTGTGGGTGGGTGGGTGGCTGTGTGTGTGAGTCCACGGTCGAAGTTAGCCATCATAAGCCCATATTGTAATTATTATATTGACTAGTTTATCCTAAGTTGAGGAGAACTGACCCATTATAAGACTTGTGGTTTTTGCAGGTCTCCTCGCCATTTACTTTTCTTTAACACCATATTCTATCTTGCGTTGTAAAATGTTGTATGTATGGCAAATAAAGAACGAACGATTGAATGAATGAATGAATACAAAACATTGAGGACCCTAAGCTTGTTGGTACTCTAGCAATCCACCCTGTGATAGAAAATTGGAAAGGGGAGGGATTGTCAGGTCTCAACACATAACCACTGGCTGTAAACGTCAAGAAACAGTTTGATTTTGATAAAGCTGAATGAGGCCCTTTTGCATGGACAAATGACCACCACTGTTAGCACACTGTTAAGTCCTCATGGTCCCTGCCCCAATCTAGTAAACACAGATGCACTGTTAGTTGCTTACAGAAATATTGTCAAAGAGATTAATATCACATCAAAAAAAACTAACATTATTGCTCAAGGTTTCCAGACAGCGTTTGATATCTCTTCAGCAGCCAATAAGAAAACTGACATCACAGATGTAAGCTCCCATAGAGTACCAATGTTGCAATGGAATGATGATCCAAATGAATGGGTCACGACGAAAGACACTGGAAGTGGGACAGCTGGACCAAGAGATGGAAAGGCCTATACTGTTGACCTCCACGAGCCCAAGGGTGTTACATTTGACTTTAACTCTGCCACCATTTGCTACACTGGAGGAAGGAACCATGGATGCATCAAATTGTATTCAGGACTTGCATTTGCAACAGAATTTATGGCAGCAATTCGAAATATATATGATGCCACTAGATTCTTACCACAGAAGGAAAAAACAAGAGCAGAAAAACATCCAACTTTCAGTTCACCATTTATACCAGGAACCCACAAGCTGATTAACAGTCTTTCATTTCTGCAAAGGATCATGGCTAGAAGAAAAGCTTACCTGCACAAGAATGGATTGGATGGTACAGATGGATCTATCTACTCCAAGACAAAAGGTCTCGCACAGATGGTAGCCTCATTAAAGGGCTACCTACGTACAATGGATGACCTTGAAATGGGTACTAGTGTCAAGTTATATACTATTGTGAATGAGTCAAGGAAAGAACACAGCTTTGCCAAACACCAACAAAGTGGTCAGTCTTGCCATCCCACTATGCAGAAGTACAGCAAAACAAAAAGCGGTGACAAAGAAGTAATAAAAAAACTTAGAGGCGTTCTCAGTCATACCACACTAACCAATTCCAGGCATAGCAGGCAAGATACAAGTCTAATTTGTCATCCGTCACCGTAATCAAAGAATTCAAGAGAGATAAATATGATGTAGCTACGGCCAGAGCAAGTAAATCTGACCCAGACTGAGAGAGATAAAGTCAAAGAAGATTCAACAAAGTCCAGAGCCCTGAAAACACTAAAGCAATGCCAAGTCAGAATGCAACAGATGTCTACCGGTTGACGAGTGGATTTGCGCCTTGTGCAGTTGATCAGCTCGACTGCACACTCTTTCAGCCAAGCAATGCAAACCTAATATACTACCCAAGTCATCTCATTTCAGGAGACATGGCTGTGAATCCTGGAACAGACGATGGCATTCTAAGTGGAGACACCTGGTGGTTCCCACAAGTTAGCAGGGGTCTTCCAACAAGTAAAACATCCAATGGCTGTCACGTTCCAGGATTCTGGCTTGAAATGGTACCTTCTTCTCAACAGCCAGTCCATGGTTGTGCCTGAAACTCCAAAGAGGGAACACTACAATTTATTATGGGAGTGTCACAAAATCCTGTGGTAAACCAACAGTCACACCAGTTGAACCGCTCACCATGGGGTGGAAACATGGGTCAGTTGTCTACAAGTGGTCAGACGATTATGTACAGCATCTTCATAAGGTCTCAGAGGATTTTTGAATGACTTTTTGTGTTCCAGATGAAAGCGCAAGTTGTGAGGAGAGTGAAGAAGAAGATACAGATGCAGTCAACTCTCTCTGAACAGACGCCTTTATAAAAAGGTGCCTATACAATTTTGACCGACCTAACTGTGGGCATTAAGTTTAGTTAATTAAGTTGGGCAATTAGTTTCGTTAATTGAGTTTGACGTGAACTTAACCTGAGACAGACCTTAGTACTGTCGGCGTTTTCTCCCTTACGGTTGGTCTGTGCAAGTCTTCTATAGAGAGTTAAATGTTACATTATTTCAACACATAAACGGCTGCAAGTGATACATTTTGAAACTTCTCGATTTAACATTAAAATTTTTGCACGAGTTCTTCCCTTTTCTTCAGAAGTTTTCCATCTCGAAATTTACCCAGAATACATATCGAGGACAGTGGGTTGAGGAAGAGAGTTCTGGGAAAGACACGAGTTACCAGTATCTTCTGGGTTATTAAAAAAAATGGGGAAAGAAGTTCGCTATCAACGCAAAAATTGTACCTGTAGCAATCCTTTATTCAGTTAAGGGCTAAATGTAACAAGTCTCTATGAATCATGGGTTATGGTTGCCAGCCTGACTACAATGGAAGCCATACAGGTTGTCACGTTGAACCAATGTACAGATTTCCTAGTACCAGGTAAAGTTATAAGAAATATAGTCCAAAGTCGAAAACTATTACAAAAATAAGTCGCACACTCGAACTCCCTACGTAAACCTTACCTTTATTCCATAAAGGATTCCACGTTCCAAATAGATCCAAATCCAAATAAATCAACAACCTGAACTGCCGTGTCAGATCCAAATTACAATGAAGTCAGAGTAGTTCCAAACAAATTTAAATCCAATCCCGTAAATCCTACACACGAGTTAGGTTTTCTAAAACCAAAACATAAATCCACTATGAATTCAGTGTTCAAAAGTTCGCAGTCTACGTCCGAAATACAAGAGGAAATCTTACCGACGTTTTGAGTTCCACAAGCAAAGGCTTCTAAAATGACAAAACTCACAAAGTATCAGATTACAAAGCACGTGGTTTCATGGTTGCTACGTAATGAGTGCCCAGCGGTAGTAACAACAACATCTAGCTGCTACCGGTTCGATTTGTTGCGATTTCTCTTTTTTTTTCTGTTCTCTTCAGTTTTTTCTTTGCTTTCTGTAGCGGTTGCCCGCCATTTTTTGATGCGTGGCAAACTTTTTTTTTACTCTAAGCGTTTTTACTTTTTTTTTTACTTTTTTATTATTTTATATATTATGTCACTAACGTCCTGTTCAGTTATTTTTTCACAGACATTCCAAGCATACTGTGGAAATCTGGGTACTAGAACTCGGCCCAGCCGAGATTTGCCAATATTTTGACAAGAAACTATACACATTAAAAAACACTGGCTAAACTCACCTCATCAAGCAGACAATCATGTGCATGTGCATCTAAAAATCCCATTTACATGATCCAATGTCGTAAATTTAAAAGCACCTCAAAAACACCAGTGGAATACATCGGACAGACTAAACGAGAGTTAAGAGACAGATTTGGAGAACACCGCAAAGCGATACAAAACAAAACTGACAATGCAGTGCCAGCATTTTAATCAACCAGGAAAGCAACTTAAAGACATCGAGCTTATCCCAATCGAACTTATCAACACTAACAGAGAATTCATACGTAGAGCCCGCGAATGTTTTACATTGAAAAGGCACAAACTTTGCCGCTACAGGGAATAAAAAGAGAGGACGACCATCAAATGAGTTATGTACTTATTGATTTCATTATTATTATTTTCTTTCACGCATCTTTCGGAGCTGCTTTTAAGATGGGAGCAAAGGATTTTAGTTACGAATATTTGGAAGAAAATGGTCAATTTTCAAATACGTGCCACCTGTAATTCGTTTTCCTTTAAGGCTAAAATCAAGGAAAGTCAATTTTATTTCCCTGGACATGAAGAACATTCTCTGGGCTTTACAACGACGCCTTTCTTGTTACTGGCAGTTCAAGATTGATGTTCAGCAATTACAACTAATACCCTTTAACATTTGGTGACATATACACAACGTCCCCTTTCTACCGAGTCATCTTGGGGTGAGTACACGCTTTTTGTTCTCCATAAAAAGCACCTTTTTTCACCCTTTCAAGGTTAGGTACCAGCAATTCAACCATCAGATAGGTTTTCTAAGGTGCTCGAACCACTCCAGTTCATATTTTTACACCATGATAAACAGTTGCTTGTGCACAGTCCCCAGTTAGGTTAAGGGTGCCCTCAGGTGCTTTTAGAACAGTAACTGATAGCTTTAGAAGGCGTTTAATGTGCTTTGATGTTCTAATACTGCATTAACCCATTTTTCATTCATTTTACTGTGCGCTGAACGTCCGTAGCTAGGCAAGTACCTCAATGACTAGTAAGCACCCTCTGTTAACCTCTAATTATTATTTTAATGGGTTGAACGTCCATAGGTGCAATGACTGGCAAGCACCCTTACAGGCTATTTGTATTATTAAGTACTCAACCACAGAAGAGATTGAGAAGTTGTTACACGTGGCTTTTAACAGCCAGACCGTGCAAGAAGTAGAGGAAGCGATAGATGCTCTTGGATTAGAATCAATTCCTTTTCCTGAGATACATGCAAGAACAGGAAAAAACACAAATCTACGATTGTTAAAAAAGCAAGTCCTCATGGCAACGAATTTGAGGGTATCTGCCCGATTGCTTCAACTGCACAGGCATTGCACTATGTTGGCAGAATTAAAAAAGGCAGGAAAATGAGTTGCCCGCTAAATAAAGATCACGTACTCCAGTACATGAGCACAATGGCCAAATCAAGACAACGGTTTTTTGCAACCCACAACGACATTACGGTGGCCTCAGACACAGAAATTTAGAGAAATGATCGAGTAAGCTGAAAACGGAGATGAGACCGCCTTAGACATACTAGGGCTAAATCTAAAGCTGAACTTAACTGTGAAGTTAGATGACGAGTCAATGAAGACAGTGAATGGTTATATCATGGAGTATTTGGAGTGGTTTCAGCATGAATGTTACCCAACCCAGACAGAACTTTACAACCGCAATTACGACAGGATGAACCTCCGCAGCACGTTGAGGAACAAGGTTAAAGAGAGAGCAGCCTTTCACCATATTGTTAAGGAAAAACTTAGAGAATTGTGGATAAAAGAGAACAAGGAAACAGGCATAGCATTAGAGGAAGAAGTGAAAGACCCAAATTACGAACCACCATTAACAGGGGCGGTATCAGAGTCGGAGCCCGAAAAAGAACTGGAAAAAAAGAGAGTGGGTAGGGATGATACCTCAGTAAAGAGAATACGAGAGAAAGGCAAAGAGGACTTACAGATAGAAGATAATCGCGAACAACTGGAACAAGACAAGGAGGAAGAGGATGCTGACCTAGTGAAGGGAAAGAGAAAAAAGGAAACAATGGGAAGAAAAGCTGTTAGCTCGGTGAAGAGAAGGTGAGAGGGAGACGACGTTGAGCAAGAACATTCTGACAAGGGTGAACTGCGTGCTGTTCTTTTTGCAACCACCAAGGAAAATGATCAACTAGAAGAAGAGGAGGATGAGCAACAGGAAAAAAAAAAAAGAAAACAAACAAAAAAAAACCGGAAGGGAAAAAAAAAAAAAAGAAAAGAGGGGAAGCAAAAGAAAGGAAGAGAGAGAGAAAGTAGCGGAAAGAAAATGCTGTTCTTTTTGCAACCACAAAAGAAAAAGAAAAAAAAAAAAAAGAGGAGGAAAAAATAAAGGAAAAAAAAAAAAATAAAACAAACAAAAAAAAACCGGAAGGGAAAAAAGAAAAAAAGAGAAGAGGGGAAGCACAAGAAAGGACGAGAGAGAGAGAGTAGTGGAAAGAGAATCCATTACGTTGAAAGGAGATGCCCCATATGTAAAAATAAAGTAAAAAATCTTCCCCGCCATCTCAGGAATCTTCACGTGCAAAAAAACGAACAAGTTCCAGCTTAGAGAGTTAAAGCCTTGGTGGAGATGGCAAAACACGCAAACAAAAGAAAAGGGGGAAAGGTGGTTATGAAGATTAAAGACGGGACTCAGAAGACATACGAGAAAAAAGAAAATCTGTCCAAAGCACGACTCAGTTTGCGTCTATTTGACAACACACATGGCTTTCTTCTTGGGAATGTAATTTGCCTTCATCACGGACCCGAAACGTTCCTTCCCTCACACTTTCTTCTCTGATTGTTCTGGTCTTTACTTCATTTCCATGGCTTCTTCTCTCCCTTAGGTTCTTGTATTAGGTCACTCTTTTATTCGAAAGCTTCGGGATGACCTTAATTCGCATTTCAATTCACAGGCTGATGACACGTTTGGTCTCTCAGATCACGCCATTGTTCATTAACACGGCAATGGCGGTCTTACTGTAGCGAGATCGCACTGCGATCTCGGAATTGTTTCCTCTTTGTCCCCCAAATTGTTATTTTGGAACTAGGTATGAATTATCTTGCTCGCCTTTGCCCTGAAGTTGCCGGCTCTGAAATTGAAAAGTTAGTGTGCTTATTCCTGCACACCTTTTCAGTTCGGATCATTGGTGTGTGCAAGGCATTACCTCGTGTTAAAGCGCCCTTTTTCAACGGCGCTGCATCCATACTTAATCAATATCTTTGTGGCGTTTTCTCTTTTCTCTTCGCATGCTGTCTTCTTAACCACTTCACATGTTCACTGGATAAGCTTGTTGATAAAGATTTAGATTTAGTTAGTCATTTCTCCTGTTTTCGTGAATTTGCTACTCAGGGCAGTTGTGGGACGAGCCATGCTTGTCCTTGCCCATTATTAACTGACTATACTTTAGATTATTTGGGGCAGTGTGGGGCTTGCTACTGCAGCAACTTATGTTAGCCACGCTTGTCCTTGCCCGTCTTTGTTTAATTTTATTTATTTGGGGCAGTTTGGGGCTTGCTATTGCGGCAACTGACATTAGCCATGCTTGTCCTTGTCCGTCGTTGTTTAATTTCATTCTTCAGTTTTTATGTTTTATTTGGGGCAGTTTTGGGCTTTCCAATGCTTTCCACCCTTGCCCATCGTTGTTATTGAGCCTGGTCCTCCAGTTTTATTGCTGGGGCAGTTATGGGACTTGCAGCTATAACCAATGGCTGTTTTACCCTTCCCCGTTTATTACAATGTTAACTGTTTTGCTGTTAATGAGTTTGGGCCGTTTAGGAGGCTCACTGGAGCCGTAAAAGGATGTTTGAGAGCATCTTTGATTTGGTTGTTTAAGATTCAAGCAGCCTCTTTCTTTAAGAGCTGGTTTCTACCTTTTTCTTATGGTTTTGTTTTTCAGATGCCTCCCTGACGATCTACTCGGTCGAAATGACCTTCTAGCCAAGCCTTAGAGTCTTTTGTGGCTTCACCTCGGAGGAGGAGGCGTACCGCAGCTCAGAGTTCACAATCCACTGGTAATGACAGCAAACCATCCCCTCAGTCATCAGTTTTTCTTTCTAGGCCATCTTCGCCTGCCGCCGAGCCTGCCATTCCTGCAACCAGACTCGCCTTTCCTCCTACCCTGTTTGACCAGTTGGTTCAGTGGGAAGCAGCTGAGGTCACCAGACAGCTCCAGCCAACATCTTTTTTGCCTGCTGTTCAGGAGTCCCAAGTGCCATCTCCTGCCCCAACTGTAACGCCATTAGACATCATAAAGACATCATCAAATGACCATGAATGAACATGAACAACCATCAGATAGCCCCAAAAAGAAGGACCACCCACCTCCACTCCATCAGAGGAGAACAGAGAAGACGATGATGATTCTGGAGAGCAGTACACCCTGCAAGAGCGTTACTTCACCTCAGCGAGACCCACCACTGATAGGCACAGGTGGTAAATAGCATTTTACAACCACCTCAACCCTGCCTGATGCTGGGAGCAAGAAGACAGGGAATAGACTGCAGTATCCTTCACATATCAACACCATTCTGGAAGCCTACATCCACACAGTTCCGATCTAGAGGTGATGTCCCGCGATGAAGGGTATATAGTCTTGACAAACTGGGTAGACTTTAAAATGAGCACCCTAACAACAGGCACCATCAATGCCTACCTTGGCACATGAAAAAATCCTGACTTTTGTCATAGAGGAGTGAGTAAGGCCTTCACTCCACGCATTTTTGGCAACGCGATTTTGAAGTTGAAAGGTTGGAGGCGGACCATTGACATAGATCTCCGTACACAAAGAACACAGCGCATTTTTGACAAATGCGACAATCACCTCACCAATGACCATGTTGAAAGTTTCTACCAGACAAAGCAAGTTCGTGAGGCATACGATCTTTTTTAGGGCACCACAGAGGCCCAAGTTCTAACTGAATGTCAGCTGACAGATGCGAGGGATTTACCCTAACGACACGCACACAGCCGGGGGCGTCAAAGATCTGTTTAACGCGTGATTACCACTCCATGCGCAAGGACCCCAAACGTGGTTATAACATGATTTTGGTGCCCAGCCACAAAAGACAGGAGGATGGCCCAGCGATGCTTTCACTCAGTGATGCCTTAAAGATGTTTACGTGACTAAGATCTGTCCTAGATTGCAAGCACCACAGGATGAGCAACTATTCCTCCAGAGCAATGGCAAAGCATTCAAAGGTGGCGAGATAGAGAGATATCATCAAGAGTGACCAGACCATTTGCCTAGACATGGTAAGAGAGAGAATGGAGGGGAAAGAACACCTTAGTCAACTCCTGTTGATAAGAGGTATGGACATTAAAGTTGCCGACAGAGTTAGGCAGGCACGCTCAAGCTACGGACAGAAGTGCGATGAATGTAGAAGAATTACCCACAAAAGATCAAAAGAAAGGTCACTGATTGGATAGAGTTTGAAGACGAATCAAACATAATACCATCAAGTGAATCTTCATCGAATCAGCAGAAGTCGGACGCCAAGGAAAGGGAGCTCATAGAAGCCGAGTTCAGTAAATTTGACAAAAGCCTGCGTAAAAATGAAATATGAGTTGTATTTGACGGCAATGAGAAACTGCATGAAATTCTCAGCAGGAACGGCACCAAAAGGTGCATTAAAAAGGTGAAAAACATGTTTAAGGGAGTCAGCAAGCCTAAACAACGTTAAGTTTAGGTTAACATAGAGAAATGGTGACAAGTCCTTGCCTTGTAGGGCCGTCGCCCATTCTTTGTAAATATACGTTGAGTTAGGAAACGTTAAAAAAGGAAAAAAAACAAGAGAAAACAAAAAACAAAGCAGAACAAAATACAAAAAAATCCTGTTATCATACTTATCCATACGTCTCACGGCCCGAAAGAGAACCAATGTGTTATTGAAACTCAACAAAGTTGAGTTCATGTAAGTTAATCATGTAAATAGAATTGTAAATACAACACTCTAAGTTATTTTTCATTATTTATTGTACATATTTTGACCTGTATATACTATTGTAAATACGTTGTATTCAAAAGGAAAACAAACAAACAAACAAACAAAAACAAAGAAAAAAGGAAACTCAAGTTGGCCTCTTGAAAACTCGTATCTCAACACGAGCTGAGGTAACCAACACTTGGGGAGTGCTAGCGAGAGCAATCAAGCGTGCCTTACTTGAGTTAAGCAATTAAAACAATTGTAATATCATTCTGACCACAAAGAGTCAAGTTGGTTACTTGATGAAACCCTCTGAATGGCTTTCGGTGGCGCATTTGCCCTATCTGGTCTAACTGGAAAACAAAATATTTACGCGTTGTTAACTCACATGCTCCTTTGCAATCTAGACGTATTAAATGGAACAAAACACCCAGGATTAATTCAGCCTTGAAAGGTATGCGCTGTCACGATGCTGATAAAAGGAAAGCGATAAAAACAAAGAATCCTCAAGGACAAGCAATGTCAGATTTCTATAAGTATAGGCTTTTGTACAAACCGATCGCAATTAAAAACTGATAAAATGGCGATTTTTCTATGGACTTTTAATCATAAAATCCAAGATGGCATCCTTCCCCCCAAAGAAACCAAAAAATCACCAAAAAACTACCATTATGTCGAATTTGGTATATTTTGGTATCACACAAAAGTTCATTTTCTTCACAAATACACCTAACATAAAATTTGGCACTTGAGTTCCAAATGGAAAAAAAAAAGCAATAAACAAAGTTAATTTTAACGCCCGTAAAAAAATTACAAGTTTTGCAAAAAATCAAAAAAGGAACCACACGAAATATCAATCAATGTGTCATCAATCACCACAAAACTGGTGCTCTGAGGGCATGTCATACACAAAGTGAGGGCATGTCGAGTAGGAAAGTAATATTAACACTAACACTAACCCTAACCTAACCCTAACCGTAACCCTGCTGCCAGCAGCTCCATCACCCATACCACTACTCGCCCAGGCACTCCACCACAAGACCCTAATCCCAAAACAACAGAACCATCTTAACATCCGTCAACAGCTAAATACATCCATAGTACCCTGATGGAGTATTCAGACCCCGAGGATCAAGACCATTATCCAAACAAGCATTTTGTACAGAGAAAAACCCTAGAGCGAACAGCCACAGATGCTTGTTCTCATCTAAGAGCACCTAAACAAGCCAGACAGTGGAAGAAAAAAGCAAAGAAATCATCTTCAACACGCAGACCAAGTTAATAACATCCTGGTGGTTAGGACATCGACATCCTGTCTTCTTATAAGGGGTACTACGTTTGGACACACTGGGCGGACCAAAATGTGGACTGCTTAAGATTGGGTACAACAACGTCCTATCTAGGTTCATTTCAGGAATTTCTTAACTTCATGACCCTTGAGCACGCAAGGAAGAACATTGTACCCTCTTTAGATGAGGACGTTCTTAGAGTTTTTCAAAATACACTCAAACACGTGAAGGGCTGAAGGAAAACCGTAGACATTGAACCCGACCTCAGCGGACTGAACGTTTGTTAGACGACTGCGACAAAGTTCTGAAGTCAGACGACCGGGAGGAGTTTCTTTTGTCAAAAGCACCAGAAAGTAGAAGTTTGTTATTTTACTTCAACCTCTCTCCCTCGAGGTTCATGTTAAGTGTGTGGCTCTGCTTTTGGGAGGGTTCAGGTTTCCTGCTCAGATGACATAAGGTTTTTCCTGACAGGCAGCAGGCATGAGCATACTTTTACAAGGTTACCAATCAAAGAACTATACTTTAAAGTTTGTTACATGGAGGAGAGGTGATGCAAGATTTAAAAGGAAGAGCAGGAGCTGAAGGAAAAACAAAAGGCTCTCCAAAGAAAGACAAAACAAATAAAAACTACGGTCATTGAGGCAAGGTGGTTGGATGCACAGCTTCAACTTATGGCTGGACAGCTACACCCCTTGGCTAACCGTATCTTGGCACAGGCAAATAAATAACATATACCTTAGCTTCGCAAAGTTATATCAGGGAACATTGGAGGTTCATGAAGTCAACCAGCAAATAATTTTCAAGGGTACCAGCACAGCTACCTCCACCTCCACAAGCAGCTCTACCCCCACAAGTACCTCCACTGCCACAAGCAGCTCCACCACCACAAGCAGCTCCACCGCATGGCCACCACCACCAGTGAGATCCTCGGAGGCAGACAGCCAGGATTTCAATGAGTCCTCAGACAACATTGAAGACCCACAAACAGCGAAGGAGTATTTAAAAGCAGACAAAGCCAATTAATGACAGACACTGGTGGCTACTAGCCTTTTTCAAATACTTAAATTTACCTGACTGTGCATGCAAAAGAAAGAAAAAGAGAAGAAAGAGCTGTAACAGAAATAAGCCCCATCGATACAGAAGAAACCCAACATGACGTGCCTAAAGACAATGGTCATCTCAGGAAACTCCGCTAACACTCAGACACTTGGCGAAAAAAAAAGAAATATTTCAAAGGTGTTTCAGTCCTTAATAGAGTCAAACTAAATAGTTTAAGTAAAACCAAAAGATATACTCATCCAGATGCCCTACAGCCCGGAAGCAGAACTGTCATCAACACCTGGGCCCTTACTACCAGGGCGAGGGACTTGCCGGCTGTTGTGCCATTGTGTTGAAAGTACATTGAAAGTAAGTTGGCCTCTCTCTCTCTCTAACCCTAACCATGGTATGATGACAAGGTGCATTATCGAGTAGCAAGAGAACACATTGGCCTTCTCGTTGACACGGTTGAATTTTGTTAAGACTTGATCCAGTATACTAAAATCCATCCATGCCCTTTTCTGATTAAAGTAAGTGCATGGGAGGGTTGATAGATCTCGAATGCCTCGGAAACAACGGGGATTTGCCGACTTTCCAATTACTATTGGTTTTCTTTACCTCAAGCAGCATTTACATAGAATGCACATGTAAGTCTCTCCTTAGACTGTTTGCCACCTCTGCACTGCTTCGCTACCTCAGACAGATTTGTTTGGTAATGCGAGATAAAATTTGCACGTCTCGTCCATGTTTGAAATGTTTTTGGCCCTATAACCTGCGAGTATCTGTGGCAAATGCTCTTTCCAGGACTCAACTGTTTCCCTGCGTACTTCTACCGATTCGTCACTCACTGTCATACCCTTGATGTTGTATCGGGTCTTAAATTCCTCCAGCCATCCATTTGAAGCTTTAAAACGCCCCAGTTCCATTACTGCGGCCACAGCAATAGCTTTCGCCTGCAACATGGGACCCGAAATTGGAATGTTCTCACTTCGAGCCATTCTGCACCACTCCAACATTGCAAAATCAATGTCTTGAAATCTGCACATTCTAGCGCTCTTGCTGGCTGCATTCCCATTTACAGCTAATTTATCAAGCAGTTTCTGCTTGTCACAAAGGGTGGATTTGGGTTTTACCACACTGGATTTCTGTCTTTGTAGGCTATTACTTCTACTTTTTCTTGTAAAATTAATTCTTTCCGTTTCCTTTTCGTCATTGTACCGTGTGAAAATGAATACATTTATGTGTTGATCTGTAACTAGATAACAATGATTCACACCACCAAAATTCAAAGAACAAATCAGAAATTCATGGCATCATAAAAGACATCAGATGTAAAGTGGAAACCACAAAAAAGGTTTCTAGCTCTGGCAGTTTGCAGTCAAATGCGATTGGTTTTTCTAAAGTTTTTTGTCCAGAACCAGAAATAAAACCGGAGCAAGATATGGCTAGCAGTCGTTCATTAAGCTTTCTTTCATGGATCAGAGGGTTCCATGTGTACCAATGGTGGTTGACTCCCCAAAATGGGGAAACGTTACAACTTGTACCAGAACCTGAGAACCCAAAGGACATGTGACATTGTTCAATCAGAGAAGACATTTTATATTGCTAAGTAAAGATGGATTGTGTTAAGTGTGCACGTAAAGGTATCAAGTACCGTTGCATTGGCTGTAAATCGCCCATTTGCAACGTATGCTCAACACCTTGTACAGAGGAAACGCCAGGGTATTCTGTGGAAGCCTATTGTGTTGGAAAATGTGACAAGTGTCAGCACTGCCGTAAGCGAAAGCTCCCTGACCTTCCCATGGCAGCAAAGTCTCAACAATCCAGCCTCTCTTTTTATTTTACCAACAAAACAAAAACACCTGTACCAACAACCGAGACACCCGTAAACACACAACAGCAGCTCCACTACGATTGCAATCTGTCAAGAGCCTCTACAGAAACAAGAAATCGCCCTTCAACAGCTGTGTCATCCACTCCATCTGCTAAGAAAACAAGGGCCCTAACTGTAGCAGCAGCAAATCGTTGGAAAACAACATCCTTGGCTGAACACTTAGGAAGTGAGTGGCTCGTATTAAATGCTTACAAGGAAGATCAAGTCGTCAGTTTAAATTGTTCTGTGTGCAAAACTCATGCTGACAAGTTAAAAGGTATGAAGAACTTTTCAACAGCCTGGGCTTTCACTGGATCAACCAACCTTCGCGTAAGTAATGCCGAAGATCATGAACGGGGTGAGCCTCACAAAAGGGCATTAGACTTGCACTTAAAAGGCAACAAAGGGCAGAGTGCTTTTGAAAGGGCTGAGGCTATGAAAGCTTCCAACGATGCAGGGCAGCAACTCATCACATCTGAGCTAAACTTTATTTCACTGACACACCCCAAGGTTGGCAGATTTGAAACATGGCAGTGCAAAGGGCATTGCAAGTTGCATCAAAGAGAGCTTCCAGGCCATTAACATCATGGAAGAGTCTTGAAAAGAAATTGGTTGGTTTCCCTGCTGACGGAGCTTCTGTGAACCGCGGAGAGAAAGAGGGTGTCATCGTCATCCTTAAAGGTCGTCAACCATGGGTGATCTATGTCTGGTGTGTTGCACATTGTCTAGAGCTTTCCCTTAAAGATGCGTTGCAGGGTACCGTCTTTCACGATGTGGATGAAGTCTTGCTTCGCCTGTACTACCTGTATGAGGAGAACGAAAATGGGGAAGAAGATGTGGAGTTTGTTGACAACTATGTGGCAGCCCTACTTGACCACTTCCGTGAACCATTGTTGAAGGCAGGCTTGGATGTCGCTCTTAACAGTTTACTGGAGCAGTGGCATGACCTAGTGGCCTACGCCACACGATGCCTGGATCCTTCCAGAACGCACTACCTGCGTGTTTGGAAAAGAATCTTCGATTCAAGCCGGAAAGACAGGTGGAACATGGTGCTACTGTCTGTCGAACTTCTCCTCTCCATTCCCATCTCTAATGCGAAAGTTGAAGGGATGTTCTCACTGACAAACCGTGTGAAGACAGATTTCCGGGCATCGCTCAGCGAGAACCCCCTTAACAACCTCATCAGAATCCAAATGGAAAGCCCACCACTTGAAGAGTTCGATCCCACTCCTGCCATCCAGTTATGGGCAATGGGTGCTACTCGCCGCCTAAACCAAAGGGAAAGGAAGCATTACAGTGCCAGAGAATCGAAGAATAGGCGGAAGGTGTTAATCAATGCTTCTTCAACTGAAGAAAGTTCCGGCACTGACAGTGAGGAAGATTTCGAAAGAGAAGACAAAGACGAAGGGGGGAAAGTGTTAATTGCAGAGCTTGATGAACTTGAGTAGCGAAACCGAGTTATTTGTTTTTTAAGCCCTAGGAATTGTCATGAGCATCCGAACATGAAACGCTTGGCTGCAACGTAATAGAACTATTCAAGTTTTTTATTTGTTGTAATCACTAATTACATCCAGGGTCGAGCAGTTCCATTGGCATTTGGCTTAAAATATTTTTTTCCATTTACTTGCCTTGCAATGCGGCTTGCCAGAAAATTTTGCTATTAGTTAAAAAGTTTTCTTGGGTGAAAAGGTAGCGTACAGTTATCTACTGTACAGAAGGTTCACGTTTTATTTTCTATATATTAATATCCAATTATTTTTTGTTGTTGTCTTTTAGGGGATAGCTTTCTGCTTGAAACTAAAGAAAGCATAGTGTTGGAAAAAAAAATTGAAAAGAACAAACCATATGTCACTTCCCGCACACCCAGCAAAACGTGCTTGGCTACTAAGCTTTCTGGTGTTTCACTCAAAAATGGAGCGTATTACACAAAAAGTAGAAGAATAAGGTTGTCTTTAAGTGATTCTAAATGGAAGAAAGTCAGCGAGCGCAACAATTGCACTTGGAATAAGACGCCATGCATTTTATACCATTTCATACAGTGGTGCCGAATTTTACACCCTAAGACGATACGAGTAAAAGTTAAGTGTTTCTTGTTTATATTTAAGCTTACATTTCAGTTAGCTTAATTAAGAGATCGATTGAACCCTTCAGCTTTCACACATTCTCCATATTTCACTTAAAGTTCAGTTGTAGAACTGATGTGGCGATTGCCAAAGTGTAATATTTAATTATAAGTGATTTTGCCAGATGTAAAGTAAAACGGACAATTGCGGTTGTATCTTACGTAACCGTTCCACCTACTCAATGCGAGGCTGCTTCTGCAGTAAAGAGTAGTAAAATTATTAATTTGTAAGTTTTATTGCCAGACCGACTTGGATTCAGTTGTTTTTCAGTTGTAAAAGCATTACTTTGCAATCTGGGTTCACTATTGCAAGAGTTCCAACTGTTAAAATTTGACCTGCCAAAAACGGGTAGTGTCCGAGCAAAAGCATGTTTGACCGGACAACGTGACCGGCGACTGCCCGTTAGTTATTTGCAGCCTTGATTTTACAAAATGAAATTTGGAAATTTTGCTGACTTTTGACTTTAACCACCCCTGGGAGTGAGAGGGCTAACATGGTTACGTCTTATCATTTCAAACTTCTAAAAGTAATCAAAAAGGACATTACTAATTTAAGGGTACTATTGCGGGGCATAAATTCACAAGAGCAGAGCAAACCCTCACTATAAGGTCAATTATGGGACCCTGGGAATCTGGTGCTTCATTAGCGCTACACCTAAGAAAGTCTGTTGGTAAAGTACCCTCTAAAATTTTGTACTTACGACGGAGAAGTCCAATAACTCTTTTGACATGAATGCGAACGCTCACAATACCTCAGGTCTTCTCTACATCAACTGGATCCAGCTGTGACATACCCTTGGTAAACGCTGGAATGACAAGTTTAGCTTGTTTTAATCCCACACTTTCACTGACTGTGAAGCCTCTGTCCTCCATAACCATGTCTCCTGGTAAAAGTTTGTCAAGAAATCCACAATTCTCAGTCAGGAACTTGTCAGAGGAATGCCAGTGAATCCCAATGCCAGGATCTTCCTCGACTTCTTCTGTCGAGGTGCTTGTGCTAGTCTCCGTGAAGTGGATATCAACAACTCTATCGCCACTCACATTTAGATGTTTCCTTTTCTCGGCAACTTCGACTTCCTGTCGTTCAATAGAGCGTTTCCTGCGTTCCCTTGCTCTTTCGGCCCTTTCTTCTGCAGCCTTCTGGTTTTGTTCTTTCCGTTCGTTTCCCTTATAGTCTCTTTTACCGAGATTTAAAGTCGGTACCCAGTGGATGTTGTGCTTGTCTCATACAGCTGCAGCCTTCCCTGCGACGAAATAACGATCACAAACACGTTTGCATTCTAGGATGTCCTTCTCCTCAGTGTCGCCACCACTCACCGCCGAAATCCATCAATTTCTTCGCTCCCACGTCAATTCTTCTCATTCCTCGCATTGAAGTGTAATAATTGGTATTTTACTGAATTTTGCATTCTGTTTATCACTTTTTCTCCTGCAACCGACCACAATACAGAGAACCATCTCAAACTCACGCACTCGTGACTTACATTTGTTTACATTTCAGGGGGCACAAAGATGGCGGATAGCTTCCGTTGCCAAGGTCAGTGTCACGTGAGTGAATACCAAGAATAAACCTGACTGGTATGGCCAGCCGAAATACAATACAGGTTGGTTTGATCAGCTTTGCAGTAGTCTTGACTTCTCGTTTTTGGTTATTAACATTTTGGCTGATTAGCTCTCCTTTCTAGAGATCTAGCGTTAATAACTAGCAGGATCTTTGTCCACGGCTTTTGCAGTTAATTTAATTCCTTTATTATTTAGACATTTTAACCCTTTCCTTCCCGGGTAGCCCTACAGGGCTATCTGAGCCACGTGATTAAAGCTCCAGGCGTCCGTCAAAAAATGACCGTGAATTAGGGGGTCTGGGTACTATAAACTGTGAACAGTGCTCTTTTTAGCCTTCCATGCAGGCGTTTTTAGGGGAGCTCGTTTTTCATCCCTCCCCAGAAACGCCTGCTCAACCGAAGATAACATTCCTTTCCCAGGCTTAGCAAATCACATTGTACTTTCCAAATTTTGGAAAGTTGACCTTGACCGCAAGGTAATCTGATAATTACTCGCTCTGCATTAAACACTGGGAAAGCTTTCTGACTTCTAATAAATGTTAGATTCAGAGCGGCAAAAATAAGATTTAGTCAAAATTTAGAATACTCCATGCACTGCATAACCTTAGCGAAGGAAAGAAAAGAAGGAAAACGGTATCTCTAGGGTCACGTTCAGTCGTGTTTAGCCTGTCAACACTTTATTGCAAAATTGTTGATTGGTCACTTACCACGCAAAACAATGGAAAAGGAATGTTGTTTCCGGCTGAGCAGGCGTTTGTGGGGAGGGACGAAAAACGAGCTCCCCTAAAAATGCCTGCGTGGGAGGCTATGCTCTTTTCAGCTTCTTTCCGGCCCATGTGCGACGTTTTTTTCGAAAATGTTTACTTTTCTCGGCTATTTCAACCTTTCTTGTTTATATCAGGATATTTAAAAATGGCGACTAATAGACTTCTTAAGAGGAAGTTTTGGAGCGCCTAGATGCGATGGAAGCCAATCCATCGATCGTTTATGATTCATCCGAGTCTGAGATCGAGGGTGATGAAGCGGTGGCTGTTTTCCCTGAGAATTCTGTGAGAATCGAGCATAATTCTGGTGAAAACTCTCCTTTGTCAGAACAAGAACGAGTCTTCGAGTGAAAGTGAATTGGATCGCCGTGAATATGTGAGAGAACAGCAACAAGACAGTTCCCGACAGCTCCGAGAAGCCATTGGCAGTGCACGTGGGCGAACTTGTGGCATGAGAAGAGGCCGAGGAGCGGTGAGAACCAGAGGAGTAAGGGCGGCTGACCGAGCAGCAAGACTCCAAGATGGCGGCCAGCAATATGTTTGGTTGGAGGAAGGCACCAGGGGAAACTTAAAGCAATTTACAAGTAGTGTGGGGCTAACAAAAAGAGCTGAAAGGAGGCAGGCAATTGCTCTGGAGTACTTTGAACTCTTTTTTACCACAATGTGTGGAATTTGTCATTAACAATGACAAACCTGAATGCACAGAGGAAGAGAGCAGCTGGCACAGATGGTGGGGCCTGGAAAGATGTCACTCTAGAGGAACTAAAGGCATTTTTTGGACTGAACATTACCAAGGGAATTGTTAAATTACCTGAGGCGGTAATGTACTGGCAGCAGAAGTGTCTGACCACCGTGCCTTCGTTTGGTTAAGTGATGTCCAGGAATCGCTTCTTCCAAATTTTGCGCTATTTGCATGTGTCTGATGACTGCCATCGTTCCTGCTGGACAACCGGGATATGACAAATTGCACAAAATAAAGCCACTGTTGCAACTGCTTTTTCCCAACTTTGAGAGAACTTATGACCTCCATAAGAACATCTCTATTGACGACTGCATGATTCCTTGGAGGGGGCATCTGTCCTTCCAGCAGTTCATCGCAAGTAAGCCAATCCGGCATCAAGGTCTGGGTCTTAGCAGATTCAGAAAGTAAATATATTTATAGACAACAGTTGTAAATAGGAAGGAATCCAGGGCAAAGGGCAGAAGTGGGCCTGGCAACTAGGGTAGTAAAAGAATTGGGCATCGGGTTAGAGTTAGAGTTAGTTACACTGATAGTTTTTACACAAGTGTGGATCTTTATCAGTATTTATTTGACAAGATTTATGCCTGTCGGACCATCAAGGGTTCAAGCAAGAAATTCCCAAAGGAAATTGTCTTTGAAGGAACCAGGGGCTTGGCCAGGGGTACATATCAATGGCGAACGTGTGGGCCACTCCTTGAAGTTGCTTGGCTAGACAATAAAGCTACTTACTTGTCTACTATTCATCTCCCTAAATTTTCACTGCAGGCAAATGCTGGGACAAGGGTGGTTAGGCGAAGAGGGGCAGGAAAGGAAGGGGGAAGTAGAGACGTGCCTTGCCTTCCACTGTTGGAAGATTACAATAGTTACATGTGTGGGGTTGATCAAGCAGATCAGATGCTGCGATACTACACTTGTATCAGGAAAACAGTGAAATAGTACCGTCGTGTTCCTTTTCATGAGGTGGAGATGGCAATTCATAATGCTTTTGTCATTAAATGCCATGAAAGGAAGGGAACAAACAGACCTGGGAGGGTTTCCTTGGACTTCAAATATGATTTGGCCGAGGGCCTGAAAGGGAACTCCCGCACCCAAGCAAAGGCCTCAAATGCACCAAGAAATGAGGAGTTTAGGCTCCAAAATGTGGGTGCACATATGCCTGAAATACTTCCAAATAGGGGAAATTGTGCTGTTTGAAGCAAAAGTACTAGGAAACCCCATGGCAGTGAATTCAAAGATGTTCCCAAGAATAGGTCACCCCTGGTTCCATAAGTGCCACGCCGAGCATATTTTGCAGGGTGTGTAATGTATTCTTATGCATCCAGAAGGATGGCAGCTGCTGGCAGCTGCTGGTGCCTCATTTATGTTGGTATGTTGAATATTGAGCAACTTAGAATTATTTTTTTGAGGTGGGTCTCTTATTGCTTTAAATTCCTCCCCAGAGGCCTGGGAATGAAAGAGTTAAGCCGTAGGTCTTCAACAGATCCGATTTTCCTGCTTCCATCAAATCATCATGGTCATCGCCATTATTTCATGAGACTCCGTATTGGTGTTTTTTTCGTTGAAAACTACCATCAGTAACTGCCCACCTACACTAGAAATTCTGTGAAACATTATGCTCCCCTGTCATTTTTGATTCTTGAAATTTTGGCTGATTAGATTAGATCTCTTATCTAGAGATCCACCGTTTATAACTAGAAGGATCTTCATCCACGGTTTTTGCAGTTAATTTAATTCAAAAATTCAACCCTATCCCTATGCAATTTTGCGTATTTTTGGTCAGTAAATAGCTCTGGCCTAGACACGTCGGTTGATGCCATTGGCACAGTCATCTGCCCAACCTGTTAAAAGTTATAAGGTGACAAAGATTTTGAGAGGGACCACGCCAAAACATTTGACCTTCTCCAATTGGTCATCAGTTGACTTCAAATACAGATGTATAGCGACAGTAAGTCTCTTGGTACAATGATGATACCCCAAATATGGCTCAAGATATTGATAGCCAAGACAACTGAACAGCAAATAACATTACCACACAGGTTCACATCGGGATTGGGATTGAAATCCGGTTCCCGTTATGATCGGGATCAGGTTTGGGATCGGGATAGGAAACAGGACAGGAATCAGCAACCATAACCCTAATTATCTTCCTTTGAGCAAAATTCCCTGCAGGTTAATTTAGGTAATTCTACAAAAAGACGTCTTTATCAATTTCACAATTTTTGCAGCGATGATAAATATGACCAAGGTACATGTTTTGTGGAAGGTTAAAATAACATCGATAAAAGGGAGGCAAGTTAGGGCTTACCCTAGGGAAAACACCGAACTTTGGGAGAATCGAAAAGGCAAAGCTCTCTGGAGCCCAATTTTTCGGGCAATGGTGTTATATTTCAACCTTACTTAATGTTTCCAGTACCTCGCCTTAACCCCTCTCCTGAAAAAACCATAGTTTTCAAAGTTCGAAAATTTTTACGTCTTAGTCATATCTAGTGACTCGATTTTGGATCAGGGTTGAGACATGGCTGGTTTTTTGGTACCCATGTCACTTTAATACCTTTTAACTCCTGTCACTTTACTGGTTAAGATCTGAAAAAATTCACATTAATACAGAACAGATGGAACTATCTGTCAGCAAAATTTCAGGATTTTTGGTTAAGACGGAAGCTGCTGAGGATTTTGGTGTTGTTTTTGGTGTGGACAAATCATCAGAGCAATTTTTCCGAGCTAAAAGCAGATAACGCTCCCCAAAAGCCGGACAAGGGGGGGCCCCACAAAATCTTGAACTATCGCATAATGTAACGCTGTTTTTACTGCTTAACTTTGCATTGCTTACGCAAATGTGCAAAATGCAAACGAAAACGGCAACCTTTTGGAAAGTAGGGAGAACATCGAAGTTGGATGTGTCATGCACCGCGAGGTCACGTGACAGTACAATGCATCACTTTTTACACGACAATCTTTTTACACAGACAATCTAACGCAAGTTCCAGCTCTTAACTCCTAATAGTTTCGGACAGCCCGGAGTAAAGCAAGTAATAGGGAAAATAAATGAGAAACGTCAAGACACATACACGACGTATTACAGTTACTATGCAAATGTCATCAAGCCTTGAAAGACCGCGCTCTTACCTTTGTAACGATGCTTTGTTTGTCTATGGGGGTTGGAAAAAATAGAAGCGAAATAGATTAAAAAACGCAGGCGAAAAAAAAAAGAAAACAAGAAAAAAACGAGGAAGAGAAAGACCAGAAAGAGGAAGAGGAATAAGGAGGAGGGAGAAGATCATGATGGTGAAGAATTCGGTAGCCTGCGTAGCAAGCGTTTCTGTGCGGTTTAGGAGCAAAGAACAAGGAACGATCGTCAAAGACAGCGCGAAAAATGGCGCAAGTTAAATACCGGAGAGGGGGTCGGGAAGAAAGGAAGGAAAAGCCTGCAAACAAACCCCTGGATTTTAAAACCGCCCACTTTGGCCTGTAATGCCTGAGTTTGTGCACCGACATTTGATGCTGTCATCATTGACCAATACAATGCCTGGCCTTCCGTGGAGGAGAAATTAACTTTACAGGACGCGTGTGTAAAACCAACATTTTGTTTTTTTGTATTTTGAAACGCGTGGACGCCATTAATAGTGAAACTGCAAGTCCACCTTGAGTAGCCGGAACTAAATGCTACCTCGAGAATTGAACAGAAAACTTGTGTATATGAAAGCCCAAAGTCAGAGAACTTTAACATGTAACGGCCTCTGCTGCGGAGTTTGAAATAGCGTGCATATTATGCTTGCCAAAGTTGAACTTTCGTAAATGCATGTTATTTTTACTAACAGTAGGCCTAACTTCCTTTAGTTTGTTTTGAAATGCCACTCTGAGATTTTCTAAAAAGTACAAGCTTTCCAACGATATCTTGCTTTCTTCAGGAAGGCAATGTGGTCTGTTATCAGAGACCTCCTGCCCCATCTGCACATCATGAGATGTGCACACCATTGGATGCAAGCTCTTTGGAGAAAGGTATGTTATCTTTACTTTTCTTAGTAGTTAATAGCTTAGGGGATTTTTGGTTGTCTCCAAAGATCTATGTAGCGTTTTATTCTTAGCCGAGTAGCCCTTCTATCATCTTAGAAAACGCTGGGGTAGGAGCATGTCTTATTTATACCAAAATTTTCTCTCGGTTGGGTAATTTTGTCTTGTAATGCTTGTGCTTTCTTACATTTAGGTGCAAGAACTTATTATAAACAGCCTACACAGGTGTAGCTTCCCAAGCAGACGTTCTTAGGGGTTTGTCACGCGTTCCTGCCCCAAGAACGTCTGCTGAACTGAAAGATAAATTCTTTTCCCATTGTTCGCAAATATCGGCTGGAGATCACATGCAGCTTATCGGAGATCCAATTGGCGTTGTTGAAGTCAAAGTGTTGACAAGCCAAACACATATGTACAAGCTCTGTAAAATGTGATTCGTGACCAAAGATGTTTGCTCCTGACGAGAATATGGGAGATAAGCGTTGGCTTTTTGTATATTTCTCTCTGTAAAGACTGGACTAGACGTCATTTGCTCATAAAGTCGTTCTTTGGGTGATGCAACGGCGGGGCTACCTTGTAAGACTGAATTTTCCACACGTTATTGTTTAGTAGTAAAGCCGACTTCCGTTCAGCAAATTTAACCTCCGAGGTTATTCTTTGCAACGACATTCTGAGGGTAGCCACTAGTACGAACGCTTGTGAGTTAACGGAGTAGTTTGTTTTAAAACTGTAAGGTCTTGACCTTTCATGAGACCTTTCTTACCTTTTCTGGAGCTATAAAGTCAAGCGCGAAATTTCGCAAGGTCCAAAGTGCACTTCCCAGATCTGGAAGTCTGCTGTGATTGGTCTACGTTTTTTCCCGCTCAAGTCAGCAGACGTTTGTGGGGCAGAAACGCGTGGCGAACCCCTAAGAACGTCTGCTTGGGAGGATAACACAGGTGATCAAGGTACCTACCGCTATTTGCGGAAGATCATGGCACTTCCACTTATCCGAACCACTGAGATAACTCCAATGTTTATGTGGTTAAAGCGCCATGTGAGAACAGAGCCACTCCAGCAGCTTGTGGATTACATCGAGAGGACATAATAATAACAATAATGATAATAGTCATAATAATAATAATAATAATAATAATAATAATAATAATAATAATAATAATAATAATGCAGATGCATACGGATAGAGTCTGATCAAGGACCATGCCAACCGGTGTCGCAAACCACGTAACGGTACAATCCGCCTGAAACACCTCGACGAAAGTCATAATTGAAAAGCTCTCAAAATACAAAGATCTTGAGATTGAAACCACGAGAATGTGGGGAATGAGGACAGAGACTGTGTCGGGTATTGTTCGTGCGCTGGGACTTATTAGAGAGGGAATGGACCAGAATTTAGGAAAGATCCCTGCATCCATAACATTAATGACCTGAAAGAGATCATCCCCCTAGGAACGGCGCACACGCTGAGGTTTCTGTCCATCAAATAAAAAAACTCCTCGTTTCTAGGAGAGTGTAGGAAGCTAAATTCCCAGATCTGGTATATGTTTGGTATACGTATATTACCAATTTAAAACCAAGAAATTACCGTAAAATGTCAGTATCGTAATCTGGGACTGCTGTGGCATATTTTCCCAAGTTTTGTGCCAGTTTAAGTCGGGTTAATCTTGGTCAACAGAATAGCCGATTCCCAAAGCTGGAACATGGTGGTGAATAATGCTTTAAAAAGGAATTTCATTGGCAGCTTTATAACAAACTTGCGAGTAAAGAAAGGCTAAAATCCCAAAATTGGGATGAGCTTGGTAAAAATGCTCTTTACCACTTAGGGAATATAACATGCAAAAACAGGCTCACTTAGAGTGGGTCAATCGTGGTAAACACAAAAGCTGATTCCAAAAGCTGGAATTACCTTGGCAAAAAGTGCATTAAAAAGGGAGTTTTTTGAGAGCTTTTTTATAACACAAACTTGTGGGTAAAGAAAAGGAAGCTAAAATTCCAAATGCTCTTTCCCACTCGTTGAATAAAAGATGAACAGACACGCTCATTTAGAGTGGGGCAATCTTGTTTGACACAAAAGCTGATTCCCAAAGCTTGAATTACATTAGTAAATAGTACTTTAAATTGGGATTTTTGAAGGGAGCTTCACGTGAGGCTAAAATGCCAAATTTGGGATGAGCTTGGTAAGAATGATCTTTTTCATCTGGAGTTTGTTTCCATGTCCTGTATTTAATCTTGGTACCCATTTGGTGCAAAATCGCATTCCTGCATCTTTTTTTAATCAGGAGAAAAAAGTAACTCTTATTCCCACAGCAATTAGATGGCCAAATCCCCCACGTGGTATCTTGTGTTAAAAGAAAGCTGTCAGTAAGATTTTAAGTTGCGAGGTATATGTAATTACTAGGCGGGAAATCGAACAGCTAGGAAGTTCTATTGGTTCTATTTTCCTTTGCCTCAGATGAATGTAGCTGGTGATCATGCTCATAGTAGCCAGGAGAAATCTGTAGCTCCCAACCCTTAGTGACAGCCCTGATAAAAGGAAACTTTAGTTTAAATACTAAATTAAAACATGAATATACAGAAGAGAATTCAGTACATAACATTCAGGACAGTTATCTCACATTACAACTATTGCCCTCTTGCTTTCATTGAATTAATTTTTAAATAGACAATATTATTAAAACATACATAATGAGAGCAAAGTTGGATACTGTGTGGAATATATTATGCAGAAACTCAAATAGTACTGGGTAAATGCAATATTGAACAACTGTGCAAAACAGGCCCATGAAGGATCCACAAATCTTTGGTCAGCATTGATTTCTAGCCCGCTGCCATGCTACCAGTCTGTACGAGTCGAGTGCACAGTGGTTCAATACGGTGGTAAAATCCCAGCATGGGCTAAAGTAGAATTGCTTTGCATAAATTTTGATGGACTGAAAGTTCAGTTTGATAATTGGCCAATTTCAATGTCAAAGTTTCAAGCCAGACTTATTCACAAAGCCATGGAACATTTTGAGGAGTCAAGCTGCATTTTGTGAGAGAACTAACTGTGTGGTTTAAAAACTGAACCTACTTCGAAAATTGCTGGGTTGTTACATTTAAAATGTCGTCTATTTATGAGACTTGGTCCAGGTGACCCCATGGAAGTGAGAGGTCTACGTGCTGTTCAGGGGGTGCCACCATTTTCCTTTCTCTCTACTAATGGAATGGTAGATATGACACAGAGATTGTCTCAAAAGACGATTCAGCTGGAAGAAATTAACATTTGGCAAGGATGGCTGCCAGAAGGTGCAGATATATTACGATAAAAAATTATTCTGCATATTTTGTAAAAGCACAGTAAACCATCACTCTTGAAAAAAAAGTTTTTGCTACCGGGCATCAGCCAGCAGCAGACCATATTGTTGAGCGATTTGAGATTTTTCATTCCATAGTTCCATGGTTCAATGGTTCACTTGTGACTGCAGCGCTGTGCAGTCAGCGGTTTGCTTAAGCAAGTGCTTAGCTGCCGCGCCTGTTTTTCTCGTAGGAGCAACCTGCCATTTTGTTTTGCTCTCATGTAAGATCTGTGCAGAAATCGTAGTTTACCGGATGCTTGCTGTCTTGCTAAATGGCCTAAACGGTAAGAACAGTTAAAGAAGTATTGTACGGAAAATTTTTTTGGTTTATTTTTTTTATTCTAGGTTTCAAGATTAGTTATAGCGAGTATTCTTTTGTCACACAGATTGTTATCTCAGGAATCAGGATTGTAAGTTACATAAGTGAACGGCATGTGCTGTACGTCTACCTGACCTGCGAATTAACAAGTTTTGGCCTTTACGTTATTTGTTCGCAACTCATCTCATCCTGTGTGCGATGATTGTTCGATGAAGAAACAGCCTATCAGTACTGCTGTTGTTTTAGAATTTCGTGAATTATTAAAATGAATTACAAAATGGTATTGAAACCTTAGCGAGTTATATGAATGTAAGCATATTTGTCATCATGATCGGTTCATTTTTTAAAATTACGATCTGAGTGTTTCATAATGCCAGCATTGCAGCCTGTTCAACAAACTGTCTTTGTCCTATTCGCATCGCAACTAACGGCAGCACTTCCCTTGTTAATGAGAACTTCTAGTTTTTAAAATTGGCTTTCGAAAATCCCAGCCTCCAATTCGTGCCTTGTTTTCATTTTGGCGCACTTTTAGTCGAACGATCTACAGTTGGCACTGGCTGGGAAGAAAGGATAGCTTCTGCTGGCGGGTGAAACAGTGCAAAATGTTTCACTTTTTCTTCTCCTAAGAGTAAAAGTACCTTACAAAAAGATCTGCTAGGTAACATTTCATGAAGTTGCTCTTGATTAACTTTAGAGCATGGTCAATTTGCTGGCGATTTTGCCGAATGGCTAGAATTCCTGAAGTGCGGTCTTTCTATTCATCATGGTGAAACGCTACAAATTGTCTTGTAAAAAATTTTGGAATTTGAGTTGTCTTAGTAAGTATTTTCTACACTTTTCTAGAATGGGATACAGATGATGTCCTGCAGTGGTTAAACAGCCAGGGGCTTAAAGCTTTTAGGAGTGGTTTTTAAGGTGAATTGTTTTATCTGTTGTTCAAAATGGAAAGCCCGCACGAAAAGATTCCGACAGAGAAGAAGAACTAAACGCAAGCTTACTTGTAAAGAAAATAAAGGCCTTAAATTTGAACATGCATAAAAAAGCGTCTTGCCACAATAAAGATGACAGTGCATCAACTGATGCTAGGAAACATGAACTAATACACAGGTTAGCTTTCCTAGCATTTTCTGCCGGAAAAAATTCATACCTTTTAAATAGATTAAACCACCTTCCATAGAGTCGTTTTACCACAAACATTCATATTCATCTAAACCTCCCTCGTGTTCAGTAGTTCCACTATTATGATAATCAAATTTGGCAATGATAAAATGCATTATTTATAGAATATTGAACCCCTGACCTTATCCCGATTTATTGGTTAGTTCATTATCAGAAATAGAGCTACCATACAGACTTAAAATAAAGCAATTGCTACCACTCAAGGACAACTACCAATGCTTTGAGGGTATTACTGTTCTTCTATGTTGAGAGAATCAGTGGAAGAATTATAAATGAAGCTGAACGCCTTCATAACCAGAGGAACAAGACAAAAGCAAATTACCTCAGAAAATCCTGCGACATTTAAGACAATGACGACATTGATTTAAAAGGATCTCCAAGTCACTACGGTGGGGAGAAATGTACAAAAACCTGATAAACAAAATAAAGAAAACAGTGTGCAAGATTAGGGATCTTATCTTTGAGAAACTTGAGGCAGTGGTCATGGATATCGAGAAGCATCTCAACAATTGACCCTTAACATACAATGAGGGCAGACTAGAAACCTTGAAGCCAAATGAACGGTGTTGCCACAAATCCCGTGAGCTAAAAGTTGTTTGGGAGCTTGAGCAACAATGACAGGAACGGCTACAAAAACATCACTTAAAAAGCAAATTCCCTTTGTTTTCAACCTCGCTGTCCAGATTGCGTCACCTTTTGGGAGCTTGCATCCTTGTTACTGCAGTTTTCTTAAGGCCACAGAGTTTAAGCCTCCTAATGCTTTGATTTTTTCCTCTCATATTCGCTTGACTCTTCAGGACATTGCTGCAGAATGCCCAGTTTTTCCATCTTCAAAGTGCGTCAGAATCAAGGCCTCCAAAAATAAACCCTTTGTTGGGGGGGTTGAAATTTACATTGGCAAGGGCTGCTTCCCCCTGTGTGCTGTGGGTGCTTCGATGGCCTACCTCGCTTAAGGAGCAAGGCACCAAGGTCTTTGTTGTAGCTTCAGGTTGGTCGCCTTCTTTCTTGCTCACAGCTTAGAGATTGGCTTAGGCATCAACTGGAGAGGCATCTGGTATCAGATGTACATTAGGACTCCATGTGAGGTTCGGGCTGTCCTATCTTAGCCAACGTGATTTTGTTGGTCATAAACCTCTTTAGGAATTTGCATTCCACAGAGAATAACTTCTCTGTTTATTGCTGACTGTTTTTTCCTTCTTAACATAAGCTCAAAAAACGATTGTGACACTACATAGCATCCAAGTTGAATTTTAATGCTTCTCACATTATGTGCATCACTTCTGTGAAAATGTCGGCCAATTGCATTGAATTTTTACTTTCAGGTTCAATTTTTGGGCACTTTTCAATACACTGCTAATTTATTTCGTTTGAAAGGACTTATTATTCTAGATTATAATAAAAGAATTTTTAAAGACTATTTGCACTCTAAGTTTACTGCACAGAGGGTCACCAAGTTTGAAGTGACAACTTCAAGAACTCACGTTTTCGTCAATGAGTTAAAAGATGGCATCAAAATTTACACACAAATCAGACTTAACTGGTAGTGTCGGAGGTTTCTTTGCTGAAATTTTACAATGTTCACAACCTCTACTTGACAATAAATGAGACTGAAAAATGTATTGAGACCTTACCTGTGGCACCTGAATCAAGAGCCCTCCAAAAGGGGCACAAGATTACCATTCGGCTTACCGAACACCCCAGCTACTTTTCTCAAATCTAAATGGACAACGACCATAAAACAAAAAAAAAAGGGTCTCAAACCTGTTAGATACCGTACGAAAAAAAGAAACTGGTTCACTGCACCAACTCTACCAAAATAATGAGAAACAATGCCTACATATTGCCACCCTCAACACAAATGGCCACTGCAGAGAGACAGCCCAGTTTTGGTCTCACTATGTTTGGTGCCTCAACCATGTTTTGTGCCATCAGAATGAAAATCTTCGAAACCAAAGCAAGTATGACACACGAGGGCACCTACGACTGGTTTACATTGTTTTAGTTTGCTTTTCAAAATCCAATCCAAAAACAGCAACCAACCAATATAATTGCCAAATTAAAAAAACGTTTACCCAAAAAAGAATAAATTCAAGATTAGGCAAACAACTACTCAGAATGGCAAACTATACGAGCTGAGTAGTTACAATAACTACAATACATTCTATATGGTTGTGACACATGCAAGCTCAAGTGGACAATAACTTAAATTTACGAGAAAAATAATAAAGAAATGAATAAATAAATAAAAACAACGTAGAACACAAAACAAAAAGCTACCAGATAACTATAAACTTTACGTTAATGAGGGTAAGCTATATCATGCTAGCCAGCATCAAAAGTGGATAAGAGATTTGCCTTCATCGTTTGCTTAAATAAATGCAAAGAACTACTTTTTCAATTTAAATTTTGTGGAGGCAGCATGGCCGAGCGGTTAGAGCGCTGGACTTGTAATCCGGAAGCCCCAAGTTCGTCCTGCTCTGATCGCTAGCTGGATTTGCTCTTGGTAGTCTCAAGATCAAATCCTTGGCCACGCTTGTACATAACCAACTGGTTCGCCTCCTACAAGTTGGGATTCTGAAACATATATTCTATTTGAATTATTGATTCATCATCCCTGAAAAGCCCCATAAGGGGAGAGGATAATTAAGTATTTATTACTACTATTATTATTATTATTATTATTATCATTATTATTGTTATTATTATTATTATTATCCAGATTATTTCATTAAACCTAGCTGTGAAGGCAATGGTCTGGAGTGAGCATCTCGATTAGAAGATCTATAATTTCAAAGTTAGTTACAAGTGAGAGAAAACAACTTAAGCTATGTGTGTACGAGTCGCACAATTCTGATTTTCAGCTGCTAACCTTACGACAATGGTTGAAAAATAATTATTAAATTCATTTGCTATTAATTAAGGATCAATCATCTCTTAAAAATCCTTAATACGTTTATTGGGCCGGACGAAGTGTTTTTTTAAGTGATACAAACTGACTTATGGCTCTCCAAATAGTTTTGACATTACTTTGGTTAGCTTTAATATAGTTCTGATAGTAAAGCTTTCCACTAACTCGCAGAAAACCAGTAAGTTTGTTCCTCCAAGTTTTGTATTTGTGATGACTGTATGAAGATTTAGTTCTAACAGTATCCATACAGAATATTCAGGTTGTTAATTGATTTTCTTAGCTCCTTAGTTATCCACGGTTTGGAGATAAATTTAACTTTGATACAGGAACGTTTTCTTATGGAAAGGTGCCTATTTACAATTGCTAAGCACTTAAAGAACTAGACTCGCCAAGAAGTTTACTAAAACAGAAGGCCACCTTCCCATTGATCCTGATTGCACTGAGATTTTAAATAAACGATCCTAATTTGCTGTCCACAGTCTGCACGAGGAAAGCATTATTTTTCCACAAAGATAAAAATATTCATTTTTAAGATTTTTCTCTTGTTATTTTTCTTCAACTTAAAGGGGATGCGCTTTAGTGGCCATTGCCATGTAGAGAGGTTTTAATAGGAGTCAACCTATGGACTGTCTGCCGGAACAAAAAGAAGTGGCCATTGTGATGGGGTAGCCATTAGTGGAGGTTGGACTGCAGATGAAACAAATTTTTTACCACAATACCAATGAGTTGTAAGTTCCCTTCAGTTTGCTATTTGTCTCAACCGACGCTTACTTTTTTTCGTTGCAGAAAGTTATCCTGTTCTTATCTCCTCCAAATTTTTGTACCAGCCAAACAATAGAGAAACACTATTCACAGTCCTTGGGTATTAAAAAGACTAAACGAAACGCACACTTTGTGCTCGTGAACATGTTTCCTTCTGATCACAAGTGCACAAACTCAGAAATTGTTATCAGTTCCAGCTGTTGATCTCAATGCACAATTGACCTTTTTATCAATTAGAAACCAATGGTTGATCCATATTAATGGTTTATCCATATTACACTGTTTTTGCCTCTTACATTTACGGTTTCATTCAACACACAGTTTAGGAAAATACAGGTCGTGGATGTTATGTGCATTATGTTTTGAGTTAAATCCATTATAGGCATTTAGTTTACCCCTCCATAAGAAGGTATGCATGGCAAGATACTTTACGGGAGCTGTGATCTTTTAAAGGTTTCTGGAAACTCGCTTTTGCTGACATCAAAATAACGTGCTTGCTGAATGGGCGAAGACACAGAATTGAGGAGAAGCAGAGCAACTCATAACAAGATCATGCACAAATTTTATGGTAAGAGCTGAGTAAGATACAGATACAAACAAAGGCAAAACCTCTGGGCCACATAAAAAATAACTGTAAGCTCTACTCAGTCACCACACCTTATAAATACAGCTGATATTTCCCTCAAGTTGGTCATTGTGAAGCTCCCAGCTACCCCAGTGACACTTTGAACATGTGTACTAAATTCTCAAAGTTCCTATTTTCTATTTCCTGTAGTATTTACTAACTCCTCAGTAGGTTTATGGATTTCAAAATTTAAAAGATTGAAATAACCCAATAAAGTACATAGTTTATATTCTTCATTTACAATATCAATATCTGAATAAATCTTATTTAGGGATGTGTCTAGATTTGAATTTGGGAGATAATAGTCCACAGAGTTGTCTGAATTGATCCAAGTTTCAGTAATACCAGTAAATGAATGGAAAATTTAGATCAACTAACATTTGAGTTAAGTGATCAAAATTTGCCTTTAGACACCTAATATTACAATTAAGGATTGAAAAAAGTGTTTCGGATATCTGTAGAGTTGTCGAAGTCACAAATAGAGTAATAAGCATATTGCCATCAGGGTCTGGTGGTGAAAGTTGAGGGATGTTGATTACATCTTATATCAACCAAAGACAGGGTGGATCCAGTAGATTTTCACAATTTGTACAAGTCATCCGGTAGTTGTTGTGCTTGCATTTGCATCATTAAACCAGCATCTAAAACCTGAGCAGCTCTTGAGGATTCCTCAGACAGTGTAGGAGGCCTTAATTTGGCTTCCCATTTTACCAGACCTTTCTTGGAACAGATTTGAAATGGGGTGCTAGCATCGCCCTTACATAGAAAGACCAAATATATCGAAGTTTGCATTTCTTCTTAAACTCATTACATTTGTGCAATAGCTCCCTCCTTGCTGGAATAAGACTTTCTTCAATAAAAATCTTGTTTCCACCTTGACTACCCAAGCCAATGTCTTCAATAGTAAAGTTCTTTAACCTCGACCTTACTTTGTAAAGAGCATCCCTGGCACAAAGACGAGTAAACTTGACAATTATAAGAGGAACCACATAGTCACCTATCATTCTGGGGATATGAAGATGTCTTTATTTTCAATAGAAACATCAACGATAGAGCCAACATTTTTAACCCATGGATTTGTATTCTCTTGCGCTGAAATGGGAATTCCTCATACCTCCAAACAGTTATGCTGGATATATTGTTACTTATCTTCAAGTTGTTTTCATTTGGATTATCACGTTTGCCATACGGGATCTCTCTTGCTTGAGGAAATTACTTTCTTTTATCAAAACCGCATTTCTCTCTTTTTTCATGTCCTTGAATTCCTTGTTTACGAAATTTATTGATGAATGGAAGATATAAGGGTTCAAGCTTTTTATCCAGCAACGAAGCTAGCTTACTTTCCAGCATTTCACCTAAAGCTGACCTAACAATGTCTTAGCTGTGACTTGTCACAATCCATCTTTGTACTTTAGGTTAGGATGGTACCATAACAACAAAAAAAAGAATAAACATAGTTTTACAAGAGTTAAATTAAGTACTTTGCATGACATTACAAGCACTCTTTAACCCACAATAGCAACTTCGGAAAAGTGCACAGCCATAGCACAAAGCTGAAAGGAAGAAGCATATCTTCACTCTGTTTTCACCCTCCTGGAGAATATGCAGGGTGAAAAAGGATAGGGGCTTATGATAGTAGCCAGAAGTTTTTCCTCTGAGTAAAAAGATCAATCACAGCAGATTAGGAGTAAATTGCTTCAGATTTGCAGCCAAGGCCAGCTAAACAAGGTTTTCTGGGATTCAAAGAATCGTAAACAACAGACAGTTCAGCCACATGGGAAGGTCGGTTTCAAAGTTCAATTGGAGAGCAAAAAACACCAAGGAAAGGTCAACCTTTTAACTATAATCTAAAATCAAGGCGTAAAATTGGCTCTCTAAAGGGGAGATAGGAAATACCATCATGATAAATAATCGTTTTAATCCCCCATGAAGCTGGTCCTTGCAGTTAACACTTGGCAGATACACAAGCATGTGACCATACTGTTGGTTTTGTCACAAAAGTTTAGTTTTTAGCATAAATTCTATTACATCATTTTGCATTCAATGTAATTTATAAGCAAACAATTCAAATCTGTGGGGGGTCAATGAAGCGCTACTGTATACATCTGCGACCTTAGTAACTTCTCTTGTGCAAACAATGTTTTCTTTTCATATGAAACGGACAACTGATGTTACATGGCTGAAGCACAAAGGACTGAGGAGTCCATCATTTTGTACCTTTATAAACTATTTATCTGTTGTCAACAAGAGACATGAAACTATACTTGACACAAATCAACGTAGTCTTCCAATACGTTTTCGTTTCCATTGGCACCAATTTCATATCGACATATGATGCCAATTGCTGGAAAACATACCAAAGAACAAGAACCCTAAGCAATTCCGCCGCAGATTACAGACCACAACACACCATCAGAATCCTCTAAATTTCAAGTGGATTTTTCCACTTGTTTTTAAAACTTTTGAACAACTTAAGTTCTCAACACCAACCACACCACCACCAATTGAAAAACAAGACAAAAAGAGACTGACAGGTTGCAGAACTTCAGCAACAGCCCTGTGATATTTGCCCTCGAGGGGGGTAACAAAGGTGTTCCACCACTGACGAAAGCAACAGTTTGCAAAACAAGTCACTGGGCTTGATAGTATTTCAACTATGCCATATATGGTCAAGCAAAAACAAGCTGATACCAGCCGTGTAAAAACCTACTGGGTAACAAGGACGAACCTTTAAAGTATAGAGCACAAAGTTCCAGTTCTTCTAGTTTTAGCCTTTTTTTTCTTGGCTATGTTTAATCCTCAACTTTTCATGATATTCACCTTGGCATTTTTGGAAGAGCTGTTTCTTTGTTAAGGGTTTACTTTTATCGTTCTCTCATGCTTGTCACTACACCTGTATCTAAACCCTCTATACACATTATCCACAATGGTTAATATCTTTCATGAAAGCTATTTCCTTTTTGTTATAAACCAACATACCACTGAATATCAAAAGCTTCTTTCCACAGCACACACGACCACACGATAATGACCAAAAATAAGAAAAACTATTTTAACTTGCAACAACATAACTTCTAGCAAAGCCAGCGAAGTTATAATGACTATCACCAGGTCAAGACAAGAAATGAAATGAATACCATAAAAAACTGGGTGTTTGTCAAAGGTTTCAAGTAAAAATATCAGAAGAGACAAGTTTTTCATTTGCAGAATGGTTTGTCTCAACAATTAAATTGAGATATTCTGGGAAATCAGCAGATGTCTTTGTCCTTGACATCTATGATGGCAAAACCCACTAAGAATTCCCCTAAATAGACCACAAATGCTCTTATAATTCTTTAGTTAACTGACCAAAACACCACCAAACAAGATCACCAGATCCAGATCAACCAAACCAGCTGTATAACCATTCTAATAAAGTGTCTCAACTGTGTTGTCACCGACACTTGGTAGTGCTAATGTGTTTGTTGAAAAAATAGAAATTCCGTTGCCTCTCAATCTTCTCGCTCTTTTCTTACTTTCTGGTACACGTTACTGGTACGGACTACTTCATTCACTCTCAACTTGAGTTAATAAACCCGTTTAGCAGATCTTGCGATATTTACGTAACTTAAATCAAAGAGCAGGAAAATAAATAACTTAATAATATATATGTTTAATAAAATCTAATATCTGCCCAATCATCGCCAGTAAAACTATGCCTGTAAAGAATCCACTGATTATAGAATCTACAACAATTTATTGAAAAATAATGCAAGACTTAAAGACTGGCCTCTTATCAACTATAACAAGACATTTTATGAAATTGTATAATACCAATCATTTATAATGCATAGAATTACACACGTATCAAACAAAAGCTACATCAGTCCAATCTAGGCTTTCTCAATTTGAGAACAACACATGGAGTGTCACACCTTTTGAGAGCAAAAGCCTAGTGGGAAAAGAAATCTGCAAAGGATGAACGATGAACATTTTAAAGTTGCTGTGGGCAATGCGAGCTTATATGCATTGGAAGAAAGCTATTGAATAATATTGCTGACAAGTCCATGTCCCATTTATAAGTTGCAAATCCAGCTAGCCAAAGGTTTTGAACTTGTGCTTTATTTACATCATTTCATCTGCAAATTTGCATCAACAATAACTCGTGTTTCCTTTGTCCTCGTCCTTTTAACTGGGTAAAATGGCAAGGTTAGGTGGTCTTGGTTATCTTTAGATGGCCCCTGCCTGATACTTTCCTAAAAGCCAGAAAATAATAGATCTTATAGAACATCACAGACTACCTTTAACAAGAAATGGCATAAGCTGGATCAATGGCCAAGTAGAAAGCACAATTTCAGTAGCTTAGGTATGCCTCCGATCAATTTTCTGACATTTTATGCTGGACTTCTACTTTTAAGCCTGATGGTAAGCAAATAAACGCCTGGTAAAGAATCCAGTAAGAGCGCAACAGTTCTTCAAACTGCCCACACCAATGATCATTTGAAGGAACCACTATCTTACAAAACAGAAGCAGTGCAAGGGGTTTGCAAAATAGTGTTAAGAATTGAGACGCCTTATCTACCACTTTCAAAACCTTTTCAGAGGATTGCAGTAGCTTTTAATTGAAGTTCAGTTTTTAAGTCTAGCTTTCTGTAACAATCCAAGGCAACTTTGTCTTGCCTCTCAAATTAGCTATTACACACTTTCCTATATGCACTTGACATAGAAAAGTACAGTTCATTAGACAATAAAAATGAAACAGTACGATGCTTAAGCAAGACAAGGCTGAGTAATATAATTTCGTTACTCTTGCAAAAATATTACAAAAAAATTAACACCTAGGTAGAAACTAGTTAAACATCCCATGAACTGTTGTACACTTTACCATGTACTGCAAGACTTGCACAACATACTGCTCACATAAATGTAATACAGGGCAATCAGAAGAATATGGTTTATATCACCATAAAATTTCAAGGGCCTTTTTTCTTTAATTACACACTATTTACAAATAGAAGACATCTAAAAAACAGGGTGTATTATTCATACCTGGTTAAAGGTTGGCCCCGTCGATTTAAAAATGTAGCAGGCTGCACTTCTTCTGGCTCAATTGTCTTGCCAGGTGCAAGGCTGTCAGCCTCAGATACAACAAAAACTCTTCGATCTCCTCTTTGATCATCTGTAGGCACTACATTAGTCATACCTGGTAGCAGATAAGGGTTTGACCCTGAAGTGTGGGCCCTAGAGGGAGATAGTAATCTGTCTCCACGTCTAGAGCGTCCGGAAGCAGGGTTTGCACGAAACCACCTCTTCAGACTCATGGCATCAACAATAACCTCCTGTTGGAAAGAGAGTACAAAGCTTTGAAGGTGACAAAACAGGCAGATCATCATTTATTTTACCATTCAGTAAGTAGAAATTTTTACTGGCAGACCCTGGGAGAAAGACTTTGGTGACACATCTCATTTAAAATTGTGGTGAACAGTATGGAGGGAAACCGCCACAACATGGAGTGAAAATATGTCGTCACAATGCATACAAATTGATTACACATTTCAATGTTTAAAGTGTTAACATAACACAACTATTTCCCCTGCACCATAAAAAGGGACTTATTGCAAGTGTTGTTCTAAAACCTACTCAACTTCAAAGTGAACTCTCACCTCATCCCTCATTTTCGGATGGCATGCAAGAGGAGGGTTAAAATCATTAGCCAAGACTGTGCAAAGCATTTCTCGAACATAGCGGATGATCTCATCACCTCTCATGAACTTATTAACCACAGTCTGCTCCTCATCTGACTCTATAACAACCTTGAGTGGCCTGTAATACTTGTCATCTAAAACAGCATCTCCCGAGGCACAAGCCTGTTTTTCAATGTGGGGGCACAAGACGTCCAAATGTCTTGCAATATACAATTGGCTTTCAACTGCCGAAAAACTAGTTCCAATGACCACTGTCCATGGATCATCTATTTTGAAGGAGTCTGGATAAACACCCGCATCGCAACCATTCGAGAAGTGTTGCCTTGCTTGTGCTCCAAATCCTGCAGCTCCAAAACCCCTCACAAGAGCTCTTGTTGTTTCTGGATCTACTAAAATTGAATTTGCATCCATTATTTTAACAACTTCTGTAGTGACATGTGGTTCATTATTGTTGATCAAGGCGACAACTAATTCATTGTAAAGGACGTTTACCACATCCCTACCAAATACATCAATGTTCCCAACCTGAGAGAGCAATTCCTTGACAATGTGTAATTGCTTGTCATCCATAAATTTCTTGCACAAACACAGGAAAACACGTCTTTTCCAGTCTGCCTCCTCAGTGGTCAATACAGTTTCTCTTTCATAATAAGAAAGTGCAAGGTTTGTGCTCTGGAGAACCACCACAGCATCATCGTAAGCTGGTTTCTCAAGATTCAAGCAAATATCAACTGCAGTCAGTACTACCTCTGTAGCTGTCAATGGCCTTTGCTGCAGACCAAACTCGCCACTATACAGATAGTAGTCAATACCTAACTTATGAAGGAGGTACAGAATTTGACGGCCCTGAATAAAATGCTTGCTTCTATAACAGAAGTACATTAAAGCAACACCTATCTGACCAATGAATTCCTTGTCAACTTTATCTAGTTCAGCCATTGTTTCCTTCAGATTTCTTTCTATTCTTTCAGCAAATCTCTCAAAAGACTGCCCAATGGTGTCTGCTGCACAGAAAGTTTGGAACGATTGATAAAAGCATTCAATGACACTGTTATTTATCTCCACAGCTTCTTTCTTCATGCTGACATAGACATATCCAAGGTCTTCCCAACTATTTTGTTGACTGGCAAACTGTGAAGAATTAAGACATTTATGAGCTTTAACATCAATACTAAATTGGCAGTCTTCAAAATTAGCTGACACAAAGTGGTCCAAGAAAATCATTCAGTAAAGGTATGGTTTCCTGAGGAAGAAGCAGTGGAAAACCCAGCAATGTTTTTTTGCCTCAACAAATGTAATTTGGAAATTTAAGGTCAAAGTTTAAGGTCAGTTACATTTTCGGCCATTATTTCTTAAGTCTATGTCACGAGGTGTAAACTCTTGGATTGACTTAAACCCCATTTACTAAAATGAAGAAACTTTTAAAGTATAGTAATAAATAAGTGACTAAGGTGTTTTTCAGAGGCAAGCAAGGATTTATAAGGGCAACCAAATTCCCCCGTTTAGTAATTGAGCATTTGAATTATCTCTTGTTCTCTTAAATATACATATATGTATTTTTTAGGGGATGGCATTCATTTGCCTCCGCACCTCACTTGACTAGGGAGCTTTAGCACGAACAATGGCAATGGCAGCGAAAATGCCACTTTTAAAATGTAATTGCATTTTGTTGAACTTTCCACCATTTATCACAATTCACCGAAAATGTCAAAGGTAGGCAAAGTTCCCTTGAATTTAATTCAACGGGAGACCACATTCAAGTTTAGTACAAGAGAGAAAAATAAATTTGTTCTCGCTTGTTTACACCCTAAATAAAACGTGAAATTAGGCATTGTGGAGTGACGGTAAAGAAATGTACAAAAAAGTGTGATCATATCCATGTGTAAAAAATTGCTATTGCTTTTTTGACGCTCTTGTCACTGTCACCGCCATCATTGCTAAAGCTCCCACTCTCTCCCAAGAGCAACAAGGCAGCTGAAATTCAGGCAAGCATTCTCCCAGACCCTACCTGTATCCTGGGTAAGTAAAACTCAATGCTCTTCTTTGAAGGAAAACGGAAGTGGCTGATTCCAGGCCTTTCTGGCACAACTGGCGCAGAATGAGCTTGTTGATTATGTTCAGTTGCCTTATGCTCACTCAAGCTATCCAAACTTTGTGTTCTTCCAGGAAAGTTTGGAGAAAATGGGTTTTTCCCCACCAGCTGACTACCATCAACCAGTTGGAAATGGTTTGAAGCTGTTACAGGCTTAGCTGCAGCACTGTGCACAGTTGGGGTGACAGGTGCAGCTGGTTGAAATCCTGACGAGGGGGGTTGCCAATTATTTGCAAATCCAAACAAACGATTTTCACTTGCAAAACTTGAGGTGGATGACAAAGATCTTAGCACAAAAGGGTTTCCAGTGTGGTTCTTGCTTACTCTCGCTTCAGTGCTTCGTACAGGTGGAAGTTCTGTTGTAGAAAGTCACAACAAAACAAATCACAAACTATCATAAACACTAGACATTACTCAATGAACTATGAGGCATATTTGGTTTAGACGCTTCAACCAAATTAAATTGCTTTTAAACAGCACCTACACCACTATTTTTTGGCCACATTTGTTTTTGTTTTTGTTGTTTTTTCACACCTTGCTTTTTACTCTGCCAAACTAAAGCATTTATGGTTCGCTTTAATTACAACTAAAAGAGGATGAATAACAGTTCATAGACCTATCAGTAGTAGTTTTTGGTTCTTTAAGTCAACAATTTCGTTACTTAGTTAAAAAATACTGATGTGAGTGAGTGATCCAACCAGAGAGCTTTCCCTGTTACACACATATTACAAAAGAGTGACAAACACCTTGGGGTTACACAGAGTTTTATTTAGTTACAGTTATTTGCCCCATACCCAGGATCTAACTGTCAAAGATATTTTTTACCTGGTACGACAGTATTTGAGTCTGCTTCCATGGCCACACTGCTTGTATGATGGATAAATCGGCAGTTGTCACCCCAACGACACCATTGATGGGTATTAAAAAACTTGCAAAGCTGAGTGGCTTGGCTCTGTTTCTGTGATTTCATGCTGGCAGAGTAAAAATACAACAAATTATCATCGACCTAGAAAATAAAACATTTTCAACTGGCAAAAGAGGGGAAGTATGGCCATATGACAACTTGTCTTGGTCGAAGAAGTCAATTTTAAGCTAATACACACAAGGCTAGAAGACCTATTGCAAAAAATAGCAGGATTCCTACACAAAAGTAGCACTGCTCAGATTATAACAAGCTGTCACACTGCCGAAGTTTGTATTATCTGTCACCTACTTTGTTTACAGGGGAACTTTCTCTTTTCACATTCAGGGATGTGTGATGGGATCACCAGCATCCCCCACAATTGCCAACCTAGGGCACCTTTCTCAAAAGTCCTGGAAACGTTTCAGGCCTGGAAAGCTGTTTTATGTTTGTCGTGTTGGTATTCAACATCAAGGTTAATATAAGTCTGACAATGATTCAATGAAACTACCAGTTAACAAAGCAAAATTGAGTGGTTTGTGAGCTAGGAACTGTGCAACTTTTCAACAGGTTTGGAGTTTAAAATTTGCCTTTGGGCCCGTAAAATTGCTAAGCCTTTTGAGAAACAGGCCCCTGTACATTTGAAGACAAGCATCATCCGCCTGCCCCAGACGACATGAAATCTGGTTTACCTTCGTGGACAACACCTTCTCCCAGATTCATGAATATGACATAGAGAAGTTCACGAGGCACTTAAACTCCAGGGACCCACCCTGTACATTCAGTTTCACCAGGAAATGGAATCCAATGGAAAGCTACCCCTCTTGGATACTTGCATTTTCATCAAAATCAGTCATTAAAGATGACAGCTATAAACCGTGGATGTGTAGAAACCCTCTAAATACAGTAAACACCTCTGGTACAAAGAGCAAAGTCATTTCCACCAACAGCATCACGCTTTCCTATGTATGTGGGGTTTCAGAGAAGCCGTTAATAAAAGATTTGACACCTACCACAAGCCTTTCAACAACAGGCAACATTTGGTTAACCCCAAAGATTCACCACCAGGGGAAAAAATGTTGGTTGACTAACAAAATACAGTGCTTGGGCTGTGATGATTTTCTACATTGGGGAGACAGCTACACCTTTTGAAGAAACACCTGAACTGTTTAGGCCACACATTGGATGTCAACTCCTCCACAATCCTTGCTGACACAATCAAGAGTATAGTCAGGGAGGCCATCACCAGTTCCTAAAGATCTTAGTAAACCTTAGTATTGTTAATTGCCTTACCTGCAATGGGATTGCTCAGTGCTAGTGCCTTGGACACCACCCAAATTAATAGTGAAGGGTAAGGGATTTACACTGGTGGACTGTAACAGAAATGGCGACATTTCAGACTCAGCAGCAGCATTGATAACGGGGGCATTTCCTAGGATAAAGGACAGTAAATGTTTAGCATGAATGTGAATCAAGCAGAGTGCAAAGGAAGTTGTGTCAGATAGCCTGGGGCTAGTGGATTTTGCTATCGGGCTAGTGATTTTTGCTCTTAACTTGCCCAACGGACAAGTGCTGTTTTTTGGGGAAATTCAAATTACGGAAGGATTGTAATCAATCCTGCTAATCAAAAAGGCTTTTGGGGTAGTACAGTAATGTTTTGAAGCAAAAACAACTTTAAAAAGTTGAGTCTCCAGTTTCACAGAATCATTTACTATTTGGTTCTAAGCCATCAGTTTTCATAATTATGTTTATACAAAAAGCATTAATGTATAAAACCTGGAGAAGGTCACCAATATTGGACAATTTCTAGCAATAAACAGCTGGATGCAATGAAATTATTATACCAACCTGCAGAACTATTGGTGTTTTGTTGCAATGTCTGCAAGGTAGCAGCTGGAACAGGTTTTACTGATTGAGGTGCTGTTTGCTGAGAACCTTCATGCACAGGCATGGAGCCTTCTGGGTGCAGAAACTTACATTTGGCACCACTGAAACACCCTTTAAGAGTCCCTATGTACTTGCACACTTTTCTAGGAGCCTCATTCTTCACACTACAAAATATCATGATTTATAAGACTAGTTTGTACCAAGTCAAAAACTACACATCAATTCACATCCACAAAATCAAAACAGAGAAATCAAAATGGTGTAGGCTTGTGGGAGTAAAAAAAGGATTAAAAATGGTGGCAGTCTAGGTCTCACCATACAAAAACGTAGAGGCCAATTGGCCAATCACAGATTCACTGTGAATTCACTTTCTTGGCTTGGAGTTTCTAGGTCAAGAAAGTGTAGAACCCACTAGTCCAAACAACTTCAGTTTTGCTACTCTGTGCTTAGTTAGCTATTGTATGTCTTGTGCCATGGAGAAAAAAAAAAGAAAACTAGTGGTGCAACACACAATAACAAAATAGTTGAGATGTAAAAAAGACAACTGCCTCTGATAGCATCCCTGACATCACACAAAAAACCAACCTGTCACTTGAGGCTTCATTCTTGTTTGCAGCATGGGATTGACCAGATGGATATGCACGCCGCATAGCAGCATAAGGTTCAGTTGAGGCCTCTGGATGTTCAATCCACTTTTCCAAAGAAGAAACTATCTCTTTGTATACTACCAAAGGTGCTACAATGGCATTATCTTGAAGCTACAAAAGAGGAAAATGGTCTCCTTTTGATTCCCCCGTAGTAACAAACCCAAAATTGAGATATTCTTTTTGTAACATTGTGAAAATCACACTCTACTATTCAAACAAGCAATAACGAGGAAAGCGAAAGAGGGCCATTACGAAACTGCTGATAAAGAAAGTTCCTGTAAATAGCACATTCATTCCACAAGATCTTGTCCACATAATCAATAACTTGGACATGCAATTATCTCTTACTGCCCCTCAAGCCACTGACTTTGTGGCTACATCTATATCAGTAAAATTAATTAAGGCAGAAGTGGAAAATGCCCTTGGTGGTTAGTGATCTCATCCTTTTATCAAGCCCATAGAAATCAACTCTGAAGGAAAAGATAGACAAACCAAGGCTGTGTTCTACCAGCGCCCAGTGGTGCCTGGCACCCACATTTTGCTCCTGAGTGAATATCAAATCTTAGATTTTTTCATACAAATCATAAGCAGGGCACCTCAGAGCACTGGGCTCTCCTTATATTTTTCTAGAGCACAGCCTTGCAAATGTTGGTGAAAGCTTTCACAATACCAAATCTATAAAAAATACTTATATACCTGTTTGAAAAACTCCTGCACACCCTTATAATTCTTTTCATTGTCAAGATATTCTACAGCTGACTGTAAGACACTATCTTCCGGCTAGAAGAAAAAAAAGTGATAAAATAAGTGAAAACACTTACCAGTACATAAGATATTTTAAGACCTTTTAGTCCTTAAAATTAACAAACAACCGAACACTACAATCAATACGTTCATTTTGTCCTTCAGCAGCATGTATAAAAAATTAAAATATTGTTTGAATGAGGCCCTTGGCTGCTGAAATTAAAAATTTAATAATTCTTTTATTGAAGGCGTCACTCAAACGTAAATTAAACTACAATCAATGTACAAGGGAGTCCCATGCAAACAAACAAAAATTAACAGAAATATTTTAAAAACTCTTTGAGTCCCAAGAGTGACCAACATCAGTTTTTTCTCTTAAAGGGACTGGTTCACGATAATGCGCATGCGCGCCGTTTGTCTCTACAGAATAAATTTGTCGGGTCAACACTAAATTCGAAATCGCCATTACCGGTATGATCATTGAAAATCCTTCGTTTTAATTCGGACATCCGTCGCTTTGGCTGGTCTAGTTATACTTCGGTAGTGTTGATTAACATGTGGTTGTGTCGTTTCACTGGTTACGTTTTAAGAAGACGCAAAAAATAATGTTTTGATCATGGAGGTTCAGAAGAGCATTGTGGCCGTCCGGCAACAGGACATTCTCAAGAGTCTCTGGAGATAGAGAAGCGTAGCCTATCGATCTGGTATGGTTCTAGGAGTAGTGTCTGGGATACGAAAAGAATACACGACACTTGGAAAGTGGCTAAAGGCATGAGTTCGTTCAACTTTGATTTGATTTTTGACTCCGACCTGTAGTTATACCGCAACAGGCAGCGCGATCTTCACCGATCTGGTACACTTGAAATGTTCCTTGTATCTTTACTTTACGATCGTATATGTTTAAGAATTGATGTTTTTAAAATAAATTATTGCCTGAATATTCTGTTTATAATCTAGTTTCTTTATGTGTGCTACTGGATAACAGTTGTTTTGCGGAGCACTGACCCAATGCAACGCAAATGAATTTGTTCATTTGCTGATAAGAAATTGAAATTTATGCTCAATTAAGGATAATCTTTACACTCATACGTTGTGTGTTTTTGTCACCGGTCAGGCGCTATTTGTAGGTATTTCTGGGTTTATACAAGGCGAACTGAGAGAACAGTAATAAGATGTTTGTTTAAAACAAAAATTTTGTTTGCCGATCAGTGACTGTTTTGTTAGCGTGGGTACGACCTCGTAAAATACACATTGGTAAATGTTTGTTTCAAAGCAGAACAGGGCTGTAAATCTTATTCTTATTGGCTGCAACATATATCTGAGGAGTAGCAAAGAATAAACTTGAATTATGGGGATAAATAAAATCAAACCAAATGCCCGGAAATACTCTCGCGTCGCAAACAATTAATTTGAATAATGTAAATTTACTTGCGTGCATCTAACTCGCTTCTGATTGGTTGAAAAACAATCAGCTACTGTCAGAACTCACACATGCGCATTATCGTGAACCAGTCCCTTTAACAATACAAATACATAATCGAGAACAGAGGTTACAAGAACAGATACAATGATCAGCAATATAAACCCTCTGCTCTGTGAACTAATTCTTGCACCTGCGGCTACGTTTATAGACCTGTCTGGAGAATTACTTGTACATGGTTAAAGAGCACTTTCTCTTAAGTGGCCGGCATCTATGCAAATCATAGGAACAAAAGGAAGCATTCACATGAGAAAAGAGTTCAACTCCGCCACAGGATTTGTTTGGCACAACAACATATCCGTCATTCCTATGTTTTGGAACACCAGTATGGCTGCCCTGATGTCAACTGAAAATGCTCTGTCAGGGCTTTAAGGCCTGATTACTGAGAAAAAATGTATTGGAAAAATGAAAATACAACAACATTCTCACCTTTATGTGATGTACCATCATAAAGTGGACCACATTAAGCATCCCTGAAGAGGCGGCCGCTTTCTGTAATGCTGACGAAAGAGCAATCAAACCACTTTTCAAAGCCTGGGCCTGTTGAACAACTTGGGGATCTTTATGCACTGCAGTAAACAACTCCAACGCTGCCATCCAGTTGCCACAATGACTCAGGGCTCTCATGTAATTATTGACTGACTGTGTTAAAAAAAAACAAAAGAAAGAGGAAAAAAGAGCAGCTTAGACTGCATTCTTCATGAAAATCACTTAAGAATCAGTTTGAGGCAAAAACAAAGAGTAAAGCTGTTCATTACACTTAACAACTTTTTGAGCACAGTTCAGAATTTGATAGCAATTCCAAAGCATTCACATATAAACAATGTCAAAAGCAAATCCAAAATAGAGGCATGTAAACCAAGGCATTTTGATAGAGATAAGTACTGCTAGAAAGGGAGAAGCAAGATACAACGTAACAGTTAAACCTTGCGGCACATACTTCAGAAATTCTTTGCAGTGTCTCAGTTGACTACTAGTAACTGATTCATTGGTGAAGTTATGAAATGCAAAAAAGCATAATAGGGAAAAATTAATACTTCAAAGTAAAAAAAATTGAGTCAGCTGAGTTTCAGTCTTAAAAGACATCAAACTTTGCTTGCTGGAAGGGCAACATGCCACATGACATTCAGGTTGTCAGAAAAGACATCTGGTGTCCCTTGCTAACAGGCTTTCTGTGCAACAGATTTAATTTATTCTCATACCATGGGTGAAAGAGGTATTTCATTCTGCTGCATCAGGGAATAGACCCTCTGAGCAAATGATATGTTATTGCCATGATCTGTACAACAGTTTGACAAAAATGTATTCCACACCTGAAAAAAAAAATTGTTGTAAATAACCTTAAAGGTACTTATTTAACTAATGCAACCAGCAAAAACACTCAATGTGTAAGGTGTAACAAACAACAAATAACACCTACATCTTCATCCAGCACAAGGCCTTTTTCAGCCGGAGTCATAGCAAGTACTGCAATAACAGCTTCAATCCAATCAATCTTTTGAGTGGCCATCAGTACGGCAGATTTTAAAATTTCACCAGGTAAAGCTTCTGAGACTGCTAGTAACACTGACATGATTTTATCCCACTCATTTGCTTGAGCCAGGGTGCTGAGATGTAAAACATGGAAACAGTTAAGCATTAACACAGACTGAGATGTCTCTATATAACATTATTAATTGTTTCACTCATAATAGAGTGTTAAAAACTTGCTTTACAAAGTTCAAGATTCTCTTTGTAAAATCTTGACAAATAACAATAACAATTATATTTTCAGTACCGCACAAAGGTTTGGTCATAGGAATTTCATTTGAATTGTAACATAACTAGATTTCATGTACAGATTTTAAGTTAGATTGGCCAAAATTCGCACCATAAATTGGTCTTCTGAATGAGGGGTTATATTTTTGTTCCACTAAAGAAGATAGTCTAGAACACCAATTAGTCTTTTAGTAGTAATACAAGCAACAAAAAATTCTGTCTTATCACTTGCTCTAGAATAGATAAGCAAACCAAACTTACAATAGGATTGCCGAGATTGCTTCTGCTGTAACTTGAACTTGATTTTTAAGTGCTTCCTGATTAAAAAGCAAACATTAAATATAAAAAAAATATTAAGACTTGGTGTTTTACTTTCACAACTTATGCAATGTGTATATCATACTGTGTTCAGAACAAATGTAGAGGAAACAAGTTTACATGAAAACATTTCTGAATTATCATGCTTGAAAAAGCACTGTTCACACGTGCCTCTTGAAATGCATTTCACTAACTTTGCATAATGTATGCATTCTCATTGCGCCTAATATCTTGATCAGTGAAGTCAAAAGGGTGATGCAGGAACATGCACTCATTTTATAGTATTGTTTCCCTCATTAACAAGGGCAGAGGACTGTAAGTCGTTTGACCCAGGTAGTGGATCAAACTAGCCTGGCAGTGCACTTGCAAACCATTTGCATCAGGTAACTGACAATGAATTTCTTCACCACTCCATAATTTTCCTCATGGCACCAGTTTAGGTTCTTTAGACTTCACTCCTCCCCACTTTCGCCCACCATGTTTAACATGTTTCATCTGACTGAGATTACAACTACTTGTTGCTCAGACTAACCAAAATTTTGTACAACACACTACCTGGGTGACAAAATTCAAAGTGAAATATCTTTTATTTGTGATCAGACTGAACTGTTCCATGCAGATGTGAACACAGCATCAGTTGAGTGACATCTATTGCACTTCATTTTACACCACATTACTAGACAACACTGTTTACCCTCTAAATAACAAGTTGAATTTTGTCATAACCTTATCATTTGGGTAGTCAACACTCCGGTCACATTGCAAATAACAAACAAAAATTTTCAGACAAAGAAAACACAAATACCAATGCTCTGTGTAGCTTTGCTACATTTTGTGATGGAAAAGACAGTTATATAGGTTCAAAGATAAAATGGTTAAAGGATAAGCAATTCCTTAACAATACACAAAATATTTTTACCTATGAACAACTGGAATTGCATTAAATCAGGTTACACCAGTTTTATATCTGTTCATAAAAAGTACTTTTTTAAATGAATGGCTTTGTATGAAAAGGAAGACATACAGGTAATAAAGAAAAGATTGGATATGGTCTCTTCTTCTGGCACACTCTACCTGAAACAGCAGCCAAGTTCTTTCAATAAAGAACTCTCCGCTCTTGCACCCAAGGAGTATGAGGTCACTGCAAATCCTGTTTCAAGACATAAACCAAAATTAAATATGGTACACAGTGGTGGTCAGAGAGAAGAGAAAAAGAAACTTTAATGGTTAGACATCATCAGAATACAAGACTTGCTTTATTAATGTTAATTCAGGTGTGACAATACTTACTTTGACCTAAACACTCCAGACTGTTTAATTTCATCCAAAAGGCTGAAAGCCCTATATGAAAAGAGTATCAAAAAAGCACAGAAAGCACAGTGGTGACTTAATTGGACAGTACAGACATCTTTTACATAGGATGAATGTTAACAGACACCAAAGCAGCTGTTTAATTCTCAGTTCAGTTTGAAAATGTTTTATCATTTTTCCAGAGAAAGGGTAGAAAAAAAATCAGAAACATTGCTAAGAGCAATATGAAATGGGGAGACATTGAACACACTCTTTGCAGGTGACTGACAACAACAGACTGGCCAAGAAAGAGGATATTTATCAAAGCTATACTGAAAACCTTGAACGATCTTATTTGCAGTGACTAACTGCAAACAATGACAATGACAGAAGTGTACAAAAACAGTGTACTGAACATGCAGAGTTCTCATACTGGCATTCCTAAAGGAACAAAGCACCTTAAACAAAACCATTTCAGCTATGTTAAAAACAACCATTACCACTCCGGGTCTTTAACTGATGCCTGTACCAAATCCAGAAAAACATCATAAGTTGGTGCATGAGAATCCTTCTTCATCAATTCAAGCATCTCATAAGCCCTAGTTTTAGATAACAAAGAACTGTTCAGATCATTTTGTGTGAACTCTTTATTAAGTTATTATTGTGTTAAGGTAAAACAAATGGTGAATCTCTACGAAAAAGGCACCTCTACTAGTCAGACGACTGGGCTCCTCCAAAACGTCTCGCCATAAACAAAATAAACTACATTTCATTTAACAGTATCAGACAACCAAGAAGATGGGTCACTGATAGTAGAAGCATGCAAAGAAAGTCTAGTAGCCAGGGCTGGTGGATTTTGCTACTGGGCAAGTGAACTCTGTTCTTAAATTGACCGACAGGAAAGTTAAGTATTTTGAAGGGAATTCAAATAACATCCAATTTTTTTTCTGGGCTAGTTGAAATGAAATTTTTTGGCCAGCATCTGCTAGCTGGCATTCTGTAAAATCAACTTTCTTTGCACTCTGTATAGGTTTACAAACACCTAAAAACACAGCTACTGATGTCCTTACTAATTATCTTATTACTTCTACCCACCATCCACCTGTCCTGGCAGGAACAAACAAATACAGTGGAACCTCGATATAACAAAGGGAAGGGACTGGCAAAATTTTTTTGCTATATCAAGGTTTGGTTAAATCAAGGTTCTTTTTCTCATATCTTTGTACTACTGGGGTAAAGAAAGGCGTTTGTTTTACCGCTGACTTTGAGGTTTGATATATCAAGGTTCCACTGTGCAATGCTGAGTACCATCACATACTGTTAACTAACACAAGAAAGTCATTTCACACTGTTTCCCTCTTTGTAAAGGGTATGAACAGTGGGTAAAACCCTAAGATGAGCCCCATACAAGCTTTATACTAAAGAAAATGGTAGTTTGGATAAACTATGATTCATGACATAAAACAATACAAAACCTGATGTACTGTCCAGAGTGACACAACGTCTTGATCAGGGTTTCATAGTTGTGACGATTGTGATGAACAACCATACCACCAATCATGTCAAATGCATTGTGAGCAACCTGAAATGACAGATAACAATGGTAATGAAGTTACTCATTAATATATTGATTTACTTAATTACTTTATGCATAGAAGAAGTACATGTTATGATACATAGGCCATTTGCACTAAGAGGTCATGTGACATCGTTTTTATGAAAATGAAAGTTGTATGATTTTGCCTTCAAAAAATGATTAGTGGGTCATATCCTAAACAAAATAATAGTGATTTGGTTTTTCAAACCTGCACCGTTGTCTTAAAATGAGTAAGTTTCTAGCTGGTCACGTGACCAAAATGTGATTTTGAAAATTACGAATTACTTCTTTCTGAACACAAATTTTGCACTTAAACTTCAAGGAAAATGTTGAAAAATCAGCGCTCCAAGCTGTGACCATTTTGGTCGCCATGGCGAGTGAAAAAAAAATTGGCGACTGAATTATCAGCGAAAGTCGCCATTTGGCGACCAAAGGATATAAGCTCAAAAGAATAAAGTTGACTTCACGTTTTATCGCTTTTTAACTGAATCATCGTTAAATTAAAGAAATATTACCAAGCTTTTCTTCTGTGTAAATTCAATGATGAATCTGTTCCTCTTGCATGGCAAGACATGTGTACAGTTCTGGCATAAGGATCTGCGTATCGCAGCTTCGAATTCATTGAGCGGCCATTTTGAAAACTCAGGTGGGAGAAACTGGGGAGAGCCCAAACTACTTCCGGCGGGGGTTGACTTACACCCAGGCCACCCCGACAGAAACAGTTAAATTTTTGACACAAAAGATGGCAAGTCGTATGCTCTTGTAAGTTGCGTTTATTGCGTTTTTTTTTAAAAAAAAGCTGTTTTTATTATATTCATCAATAAAAATACTTTTGTTGGAGTAAATGTGTTTCATGAAGAAATATTAAATTTCCCGTGAGAAAAGTTAAGTCAGGCACTTTTCACGCTGATCTGGCTACACGTAGCCTGCGAGAGAATTCAGTTTTATCGGCTCTAGTTTCACAAGCGTTGTGATTTGTGAAGCTAGTGCCGAAAAAACCGGATGCTCTCGCAGGTTAGGCAACACGTGGAGTTGATGGTGCTGTGCACAATTACTAAAAATAGATAGACCCCTTGGTGAATGACAAAGTTTACATGCAGTCAGCTCAAAGGCTTTGTATGAGCGGGATTTGTTTTGGATATAAAAAATCAGCGAAAAATCGACGAAATCAGTGGTAAACGTGATTTTCTTGCAAAAATATCAATAAAAGCCGCATCAAAGTTTTCGGCAACACCACTTTCCCCCGAGACTTTCCCATACCACATTCTCATGCAGATAAGACAAAGAGGAGTTCTTTGTCTGAATCACAGCTGGAGGTCAAATGTCTGTGTAGTCTTTTATGCGCAGCGCTGCTGTCAATAAACTGATGTGAAATCCCCATTCGCGCGTAGCTGGCTGTCATTTGCTTATTTCTATTGCTCTTGCTGAGGAAATAGTAATGAAGAATGACAGACTTCGAGAGAATATTTGAAAAAGTACGCGATCTATTCGCAAGCGGCGATCCGTCAGCAACCGAAAAAGTCATCAAGTTAAAGGGAGAACACGAGGAAATTCTCCATAAGAAAAGCATCTCGGAACTAACCTTCAACAACTATGAAGAAGATTCACTTGGAACAGCATTGATTCCGGATGATGAAAATCTTCCACGTGGTCTACGGGCTCTTCAAGTTTCCGGGGACGGGAATTGTTTGTATAATTCTGCGTCAGTTTTAATGAAGGGAGATGAGTCGCTAAATGGAACTTTACGATTTCTGACTGCTTGTGAACTATTTTTAAACGCTGAATTCTATGCTAATCACGAAAAGCTCTCTGAAGCAAATGCGGAGTGTTCCTACTCAGAGAAAACACTGTTTATTTTAATGCTGACGTCGGCAGGCGAGAAAGAGTGGCAGTCGACCAGACGTGCAGTTGAAGCCGTAAAAGCAGAAGCTATGAGTGCCTCAAAAGACAAGGTTTGGAGCAGTCTTGTACATTTGATGGCATTAAGTACAGTGTTAAAACGGCCAATTTTTTCTGTTTACCCAAACACAAACCCCGCTTTGAGACCACTGATCCATGGATTGGTACATCCTCGCGTAAGCAGTGCCGCTGACGTTTTGCCGATCTACATTTTGTGGTCAAGAGACGGCAATCTTGACAATCGCTCTGGTGCTGTATATCAGCCAAACCATTTTGTACCACTGGTGTGTAATGTTTGTACGCCCAACAATGAGTGGAAGTTATTCAGGCAAGTTTCATTTAGCACGTACAAACAGTATTTTTGTCATCAACTTTGAAGTAAGAAACATTTATTTAGGCCAGAAGTATTGTTATTGTTATTGTTATTGTTGATTCAAGTTTTAATTTACATATGTGAGTGGTTTCAATGCCGATGATTTAGCTAAAGAAAGATGTTTCTTAGCAAGTAGACGGTACGAACAAATGTATATTCACGTAATCGTATCTGATCAGATTTGTTTCAATGATATCACTGCAAATACATGTTCCGGGTTTCAACATCCGACTTTGTAGTAAATTGTTCTGGTTACCTCTCATAAATGTCTTTGCCTGTTTTTGCCATCTTGTACTGCGTTTACAACCCGCAGGCAAGTAACAATGGAGTGTTAAAAACACGATTTATTTCCGTACACAACGTTCAGCAGTAGCTCCTTCATGTAAGTAGCATGAAGTGTCTTGCGTTAATGAAACGACAATTTTTGGCGACCGAAATTTTCCATTGGCGACCATTTTAAAAATGAAGGTCGCCAAAAGGCGACTTATTGAAAAAATGAGCTTGGAGCGCTGAAAATGATGTGGTAACGTTTGCAGCACATCTGAGCATAACTATCAAAAGTTTAACAAGATGTAAGCAAAAACTAGTTTTAGCCGCCATGTTGGAGGGCAAGAGTATGCCCTCCAACATGGCGGCCAATACAAATCATACTACTTTGTTGAAAAATCAAAGTGCCATAAAATATCTCCCTTAAATTCTTTTCCTCTTAAATTTCGGGTGTAAGATAATTTTTATGTGCTCTGTCAATTTTTGGCATCAGCAGGATTCCAACTAATTGTTTAAGGGAAGTATTGGTCACGTGACCTCTTAGTGCAAGTGGCCTATTACACTGTAAAATATCCAGAAAAAAAAGAGACAAAGTGGCAAGGAGACCTGAAAGAAACTAGAAAGCTTGATGGATTGATGGATCAAGTGAGCAAAAATGCAATTAAGTCTATGGTGGAAGAGACAGCTTAAAAACTACCTATAAATCTGCCCTTAAGTATTTTCATAAAGGCATGGGAAAGTGCTTTGTTGATGCAATATTAACTAACATCACGAGTCTTTGGCTATACATAAAAGAAGTACACCTCCAGATACAAGGGAAAAAATTAACAGTCTATGTTTTCACTTGTACTAAGTGAGTACCATTGTACTAACTGAAAACCAGTACCATTAACAATGTCAGAAGAGCACCTGCACTTATGAACCATTCTGTGCCATGACCTTTTGTAAGTGCCTACCTGTGCAGCAACATCTGGGTCTTGCAAGTGTTTACTGCACAACGTGAGGACATGTTGAAGAACACTCAAATCAGGCGGGTGATTCATACTGCGAAGTTTCTCAATCATTTGCCAAGCAGCACCTACAGACAGAAAAGCAAGGCCCATATTTCTCTCAAGATCAAAATGCACTTTTTCTAAGTTCTCTTGACAAATTTTCACAATGCAATTTGCCAGCCTGGACTGGGGTCAATTTGCTGGGAAAATCATAAGGCAAACACAAGAAAAAAGGTGACTGTATTCTGATGTGTGGTTAAGTTAGAGAACAGGTGAGCTTGATCATGGCAATAGATGTACAATTTGTGCCTGGCTAAGAATTTTTAAAAAGCAGTTGATGAAAAAGTTAAAGGGCAGAGGTTTTATTATTATACAGCAATTAATGGACGAGGCTGAGTATGATCTGAAGACTTATGGAGGTTGAGGAGGGTACCATCTACTGAGGCCAATTAACTTGAGGTGGATAACACTGTCTAAGATGTCAATAATTCCTCACGTCACACAAATGCCCAATCCAATAATTGTTTTACAATCATTCAAAAACTTGATTAAGAACAAGCTAAAACATTATTTGTCGGTTTTTTGGTAAGATCAGGAGAAAAAGGGGTGTTTAGTTCTGAAGATATTCTCCAAATAGCAGATGTTGTCTGTTGAGTTGTATTCTTGGTGCTCTTCCTATGTTTCTGGGCAGAAGTATGGCTTTTTCTTCTTCACAAAACATGTAAAATGTACTGCCATTTTGTAATGCTCTACCAAAACAACAGAACCTCATTCCCAGGGTTTCTCAGTTACCATCCATTTTTCGGCCATTAATGCTGTTCTATTGATGTCATTATTTACATATAACTAACGCCTTCAAATCTTGGTCAGGGCTAGCTGCTTATGAAGAATTTGCCTTGGAATTTGAACCAATCAGAAACAGAAATATTTTGAATAAACATTTTTATTAATACTGTCTTGTTATGACTTTCTATAGATCTCATCAGTTGAAGAAAGCTGTTGAGAACTCTGGAAGCGTATCATGGCTTGGAACCATTTTCAACAAGCTTAGTAGGCTTTGTAAAACTAGCTATGCCTGTCTAAAACAACTGAACATCTATTCAGTATCTATTTACCTGTTAACATGGTTCGTGCAACTTTAGGCAAACTAAATTTCAAGGAGGTACAAAAATAGCATCTAAAATAAAGAAACAGAAATAAAATATTGTTCATGCGCAAAAATATTTTTACATTTCCAGTGAGTTATACAAGTTCTTACACTGAGGATAAGCCAAATTTTCCTCGGCAAAATAATCTAATTTTACAGAGAACGGTCTCTGGCATAGATGAGGTTGTGAATTTCAAGGACTTTTTGAGACCTAATAAAGAAATCAAGTACTTTTCAAGGACCTAAACCGAATTCAAGTACTTTTCAGGACGACTAGTAAAATTCAAGACCTTTTCAAGATTGCACGAACCATGTGTTAGGAGACAACACTGCTTACTAATTCTATCAAAAATCTTACCCAGATTTCCATTTTGCAATAGTTCATTGACCAAGTCATATGACACATCGGGAATGTCCACTAAAAGAAATTGATTGCAAAAATTATGTTACACTTACTTCACCTTAATAACCAGCACTTTACTGACTGCACATATGGTATCAATCAAACTGGCCCCAGCTGTTCACAAAGTGGATAACACTATCCACCAAATAAATCACTATCCAATGGAGAAAACATTAGGAAAACCACCTGCACTGTAGCCCAGATCCCATGGATAGCATTATCCACCTTGAACAATCCGGACCTGGTATATGAGCCAAAAACATGGCTCAGTTTTTTTTCAGCAGAGTAAGGCACTTGTTAGATTGCACTACACGTATTTTAACATTTTTGCACGTATAAAGATTAAAATTTACTTGCCTTGAAATATTTCTTAGCTTATTTGAGCTTTACTGTAAAGACTACCATAATTATTTGAAAGTTTTTCCAACAACAAAAGTTAAAATTTCAACAAAATTCCCAACTTCAAGCCTGCTTTTGTGAAAAAAACCCGGCTGACATACCAGCTGGTCAGCAGGTTCTCTGTTCCTAAACTAGTTCAATTTGTCCAAGAACCAATGATTCATTAAACAGAAGTTATTGTTAGACCTTATCCTATCAGTGCTGTACCTTTGATTTGTTGCTGCACAGAAGCTGGCTCAACAACAACTAGATGGTCTTGGCTGAAAACAAACACATATGAATTACTACTATCTTAATACAGTAACAAGTAACCAAGATATACATGTAATGTTTACACGTAAGAAGATCTCTCTTCTTTGCACAAATCAAATGTCAAAGTTATCTATAATGGTTACACTAGATTTCCCCTCTGCTACTTTCATGGGAAAGTTAAAAGAGGAAAAAAAGAAATCCCTAACAGTTTGATTCCACCCTTACTTGCTGTATTTATATGCACCAGGTAACTTGAAATCTCAGTGATAGACCTGGTTGTGTCAGAGAAAGCCTCACTTCAAAATAATACATAAAATTTATAGCAGAAATGAATTTGCATGTGCAGCTTCTATTAGATACAAAACTTTAATTTATTCATGCTTTTGCAATATTTTGCATTGTATCACTTACTGGTATAAATGTGCCAATCAAAGTTGCTTTTGTTGTTGGTACATTTGAATAACAAAAACAATGTACCATTTAAGCAATAGATTAAATGTTTTCCATGTTCGCATAGCCTGATATAAGCACAAGAGTGGTTGGGAGAATTCGAGACTTGGGTTTGCATAACTGTTGAGAATTCTCCCAACCCCTCGAGTGTTTATATCAGGATATGGAAACACAAGAAAAAAAGTTTTCTATTGCTTTTAAAAAATAACTTTCCCGAGAAAAAAAGCAAACCTCTCATGTTTAGAGCACTGATTAAAAGAGAAATTCTTACCAGTCACGAAGTCTTGTACACAAAGCTTGTATGAATAATCAGTCCTTGTTTTGCAAAAAAGAAGCTTGCCAAAATATGGGTTTTTCTCACATGTTTCTTTCTCTGTTTCAGCCGACGAGGAAATGGGTAAATAAAGTAAACATGTTGAGTTTTTTAACTCAAAACCTTTTTCAAATTTGTGCTTGGGTGATTAGCACACGAAAAGCAAACATCTTGACGTTACAACCATGTTTACATACTCTCATGCAAACACTCCTCTCGGCCAATCAGAGCGCGCGTACTTCCTTAGTTATTTTATAATTAACAATTATTCCTCGAGCCCGAGTGGGCTATTGACTCAGAGGCTATGAGGGCGAGAGGAATAATTGTTTTAATAAAATCCAACTAGTTGGTCAAAAATAACATTTAGCTAGTTAAAGCTAAATTTTAATCCTTTTTTGCCGCCAAAAAGCCCGCGCTTTTCGCTACTAATGGGCTATAACATATAGCCTAGTGGTAGCTCAATCAGTAGCTCAATCAGTAACCAATCAGTAGTAGCTCAATCAGTAACCAACCAGAATGCAGCATTGATAATAGACCACTAGTTGGATTTTACTAATATGAAATATCGCTTTATATAATGTTACTTGAGTAAAGTAACATGCAGATATTTGAGTTTCATTTAATCATCATACGAGCTTTACATCTTAAGAATAGAGAGGTGTAGCCTGGATACCTGTTAACATGTCCCAGTTGATGCAATTTTTGGTGCTGAAAAATAAGAGGACAAAAAGGGTCATTTTACAAGTTTGATTTATGAGTCCATCAATCCAAAATAGGCTTGACACATTTATTACCTACCTCCTCAAGTTCTTGTTTTGGCAAATGCCAGGGTTTGCTCAAATAGCTCCCTGTCTGAAACTGTTCGGGGTATAACTGCTTGGGACTTCTATTCTGCATTCTTGGCTGAGGTATTCCTTCTGGGCTTGTTGCAACCACAATCTTACCTCGATGTGGCACTTCTTCAGCATGAAATGGACTTCTCCTTTTATTTGATGACAACTGCATCTCTACGTTACTGTCTGAATAAGGAGAACGATGGGTTAGCGTTGAATCAATTATTGGTCTACTGCTGTGGCCATATTCAAAACTTTCTTTTGCAGTGGCTGTGTTCTTGCTTCTCGGTGACACAGCAGTATTTTGTTCATCTTTGGTTGATATAAAACCTCTCACAGCATTTGCTTGGCTTTCTTGACCTTGTTTATATGTCTTCTGTAACCACTTAGGAATATCTCTGCCCTTGTTGTCATTTTGCTGAGAAGATATCTGTGCAGGTTGAGTAACTGTTGAAATACTTGACTGCTTAGAGACACTTGAAGCCTTCGGCTGAGTGTTATGAGTTCTTCTTGCTGAATGCCGGCCACTGTTCCTGAAGTCGTTTGGAACATTCTGAGCCCCACGCAAAACACTAGTATGCTTCTTGCTTTGATCAAAGTTTGTTATAATTTCTCCCGGTACTGGAGGAGGGTTTGTCAGCATTTCCACTTGAGTTTTTAAATTATTCACAATGTTAGCCTCTAAAGCTCTTTGTATCTGGGACACTAAACCCATATTAGCAGGACTAGGAAGTGGCAGGAGACCACCACCATGTCCCAAAAGGGACGGCAATGGAGGTATTGTATTAGGAAAAACATTAGGAACATTCCCTTTCCTTGGAGCTTGCCTTGATCCATGACTACCTTTACCCCTCATGGGAACAGAACCTCTAAACTGAGCTCTGCCCTTTCTCCTGTCAACAAAATGTCTCGAGTCTCTCGGTCCGTGCCTATTATCTCGTTCTCTACTTAACCTTTTATGAGAAGAGTTTCTAGAATCTCTTTCTCTGTTTTCTGACCTTTTCAGCAGACTTTCATCTTGCTCTGAGGACTCAGACATGCCCTGCCTTTCGTCCTTTACTTCATTACCTTCAGGTTCGCCAACTGTTATGTTGATCATTTTAGTGGAGTTTCCTTTCTGTCTATCAGTAATTTGACTCCTTAAATCTTTTGATTGACTGCCTGATCTTCTTCCAAATGTCCTGGAATTTGATGACCTGATGGCAGAATGGTAAAGGAAAATTTTTAACATTTGTTACTTCTTTTGGTTATAGAATTTACTATCATTCTCTCAAAGTGTCACTAAAAAATAAGAATAAATTGCTGGAAAAATAAATGGATAGCTACCAGCCCTTGGGAACCTGCACATTGTGCATTTAACTGAAAACCTGTGCATGTAACATGTGCATTGTAAATGAAAACCTGTTATATGTTGACTGCAAAGAAACAATGAGCAAAAACAAAATCAGAGAAAAAATCCTTGGGGATACCAATTGGCCCTTTGCAAATACTCATTCGCATGGTACAAAACCGCCATACTAGAGATGCACTGGGAGTAGACAAACAAAGGAAATTACCATTTTAAAATTAACGATGTGAGCCATTTGTTTGTATCCTACCTGCGTGCACCTTGCTCTCCTGTGTGGCAGGTTTGTACCAAATGAATGACAAACTACAAAGGGCCTATTCAGAAGTAAAATGGCCAAACAGGTTTGGGAGACACATGGTACTGTTGTCAAAAAAAACACATAACCATGTGATGAAGTAAACTAACCTGGGTTCATCCTCCTCATCGAACAGTGAATCATCAGGATGAAGGGATATCTCATCATCCTCTGGCTCATCACTTGTATAGGAACTGAAATTGGAGTTCAGAGACTGTTTCAATGAAGAATCTCCCTCCATCTCTATTTCTTCATCCTCCTTTAGCAGAAAATCTTCATCATAGTCTTCAACAGAGTCACTTTCCTCCTCATCATCAACGTAATCAAAATCTTGTTCAGCCAATTTGCTGTCAAAATCCATCCGCACCTCACGAGTTTCCATTTCATGTTCCTCCACTTGTGATAGACTAAATGAAAGGACAAACATAGGAAGAATAATTCAGATTATATCTCAGATACATAACAAATCAGGTTACCAAATCTCACAGAGAAATTTTGACTTTTAAGACTGACATTTCATATCAAGTTTATTTACCTCTCAAATTCATGCAATTTCAGTAGAAATCAAACTCCAACTACAGCCAACCGATTATAATTCAAAATTGTTGCAGCTAACAGAAAATGTTTTATCAAAAGAATGCGTAATCACATTACTGTTTCCGATGAAACAACTTAATTTTCACCGTACTATACACTGAGGTGCTGAAAAATTAGTAACTGTCAATTATAAACATGGCAAATTGAACATTCAATCAATACAAATAACTGGAATCCCAGCTAACTCAAACTTTTTTTGTTTCCCTATCGAGTTTGAGTTAGCGCAGTTCTACTGTAGATTTTTTGGTCGTTATGGCTAGAAAGGTGACTGTTTAGAACTTCAACAAGCTAGTAAACTGGCAGCAAAAAACACTTTCATACAAGCGAAAGTATCAAAGGTGGGTTCTTGGGGTGTGATACATTGATCCAAGGAAGGGTTATTTGAAAGATAAGAAATACAGATTTCACTTTAAACATACCTTGAGACCGTTGCAACTTGGGGTTTGGCATGCAATATCTTGCAGTTGGCTGATGATTGGGCTGGTAATGGTTTAAGAGGAATGGAAAAGTCTCTTAGCTTTGGTTTAGCTGTACTTGAACCAGGTACACTTGCTGAGGAAGTTGGCTCTGCAGATAATATAATAATTAATAATAATAATATAATAATTACTCTACAATATAGTACAATTACAGGGCTCGACATTGTGCCAATGCGACCAGCTTTTACTCAGTGGCGACTAAATTTTCACACCTGGTCACCAACGTGGCCCCCAAGATAGGTAACTTTCTTCTTTAGGAAAACATACACTAATGATAATTTGTTATCCTTTACAAAACTAACAGATAGCTAGCGGTTTTTCTAACACTCTAACCGTTTGTCTAAACGTTTTAACAATTTGTCTAAACGCTTTAACGATTTCTTTCAACACTCTAACGGATTGTTCTTATGATCTAACAGTTGGTGCGTCTAACACCTGACTTTTACTTCACAGAGGATTGTGAAAATCACAAGTGATGAATTCAACGGAAGTTTTATTGACTTTTGGGCAAATCCATCGCAATTCTCAACAGGTCATCCCATGTTTCTCCGGGAATGACTTTTAGCGCATCAATTTAAAACAATTTCTTTGTGTCAAACACGTATCTCAATTGCGGACTCGCTGGCAGATTAGTTTGATAAAAGCGACATATCCATGATTGTTTCGACTCTACTCATGTTAACTATTCATGGAAAAATACTATGAAATTGCTGCATGCATAATACATGTATGGGGTTGTACAGAAATCTTACCCAGTTTCCTCTTACAGCAATACGACTAAACAAAAATATAGTTACTGCCCACACAGACTACCTATTTCTGGCATGAGATCTCAACTTACAGTTATCTGTTTAGACAGGGTTCATACAAAAAATTGCTGCCATTTTTCAAGGATGTTTCAAGGACCACATTAGATTTTCAAAGACCACCTACCAGGAACATAATTTCACAGATTGTACAACAATACACATTCCCAGTATATTCTAATAAGACTTTAAGGCTTGAACTGTTTGCTTCACCAAATTCTCTACATTTTTCAGTTCACTTGTCTTAAACTGATAGTTATTTATTGCATAAAACATAGGCCACTAAATATGTAAATAACCTTTAAATTCTCTGAGCTATGATTTACATTCTATCTTGGACAACCAAAAAGCATCAAAAAATTCTTTCCAGGCCACTACATTCAAAGGTGAAGAAAATTCAAGGTCTTTTCAAGGACTTACACAGAAATTTTAGGACTTTTCAAGTAAAAATGGAATTCGAGGACTTTTCAAGGACTTTCCTTAAAATACAAGGACTTTTCAAGACTGCGTTCACCTGTTTTGTTAACCCTTTCAAATGGGTGAGTAAGCCATTTGCCCGATCGTGTTAGCCGTTCGAAATACCTTCACAACCTGTTCAGCTGTTTGATGAAGCCATTCAAACAGGTGAAAAAGAAGTTCCCCCGCTCACGTTAGCCATTTGGAATACTTTATAACCCGTTCAGCTGTTCGTTGAACCCATTTAAACGGGTGAGTGAGCTGTTTGAAACCCATTCGGAATCCGTGCATTTCACCCGTTTAACGGAAAGCCATTAGTGTACGTTTTCCCGCGAAAGGTCACATATCTCGAATTTCATCTTATAGATTTTTGTGAAACTTCGCACAACAGAAGACAAGTACCCAAAGCATAGGTGGCATAAAGCATTTCCAAAGAAAATGCCGATGACGGCAAAAATTCGATTTAGAGCTAAAACTATTGTGACATCATTTTCATGTGATATGTATTATGATCGCCCAAAAATTAGTATCATAATAAAGTTTAATGTGTGGTTCCAGAAAATATCCATACCCCCACCACGGAAGACTCTTTGATTTGCACCCCCCACCCCCCAGGATTTTCCGTTCCAGGGGGTCTTTGATGACCCCCCCCTCCCCCCAGGAATTTCCAGAATTTTTAAATGGGGACTTCACTTACCACACTTTGGAAATTCAAAGTAGTTTGGGTACTTAAAAACAAGGAAAGTTAATACTAACTCAGTAATGAAAATAGGGTAGAATTTTATTACAACAGTGCAGCGTAAACGTTTGTTAAGTTTATTATTCAGCCAAACTTTTAGCTTTTTAGCCATCACGTTTGCAAATTATGTCTGTGTTGTTTTTATGTAAGCTTATAAATTAAGCTTAAACATTTGGGTTGCAAAGTTTAAACGTCGATTGTTCTACGTTTTTGTGTTTACTCCGACACAAACATTATGAAGAGAACACAAGTTTCACCCGCTTAAACCATGTTAACTAACTTTGCAAACGGTAGCAAGAAAAACCCAGAAACTTACAAGGTGCCTGTCTGGTAGCCTGTGTACAGCCGCCCCTTACCTTATCGGTTTTTTTGAGGTAAGGGGCGGCTGTACACAGGCTACCTGTCTGGCTGTTTATATTTCTACACATTTTGTCAGTTTCTTCAGGTTGACTATTATTTAAGGGCCGAAAACTTCACCAACACGTACATTCCAACGCGCTAGGTTTCGTGAACATCGTCACGATTGCAGAAGTTACTAGCCAGGTAGCCGGGCCTTGTGAAGGTCGGGCAAGAAATGGGAACGAAAGTACTCTCGTCTCATCGCATTTTTCATGAGTTACTACCCTCAATAATAACTGATAAAACATGAAACCTATCAAAAATGTGTGTCCTGCATGTCAAGGTAGCGAAAAGGGATACTCAGTGAACAGAAGTGAAAGCACTTTAATGTTGGTCGGACGAAAACAAGACGAAGACAAGACTCCAGTCATGTCTGCCATTTTCAATCGTTTTTGACTTCGTTCCAAAGACACATCGTTCTTCTGGAGATTGTAGCGCTAGCTAACTCAAAGAAAAACAGAAACATTAAACCTAATGATGTTAACCTCATGTCAATGGCCAGGAGTACTGACCTTTGTTTCAAAACAACGTACGTAGGTATGTTTTTGTGCTTCAGATCGATAGTACGTTGCTTTCAATGTTTTGTAAGTGGTCTGTCACCCTTTGGAAAATAGTTTCCCATGAACCCCCCCCCCCCCCCCCCCAAAATTTTGCCCTTTTAACCCCCCCCCCCCCCCCGGAATTTCCAAAAGTTTTTGTTGGGGGGGGGGGGGGGGGGGGGATTTTTTGTGGGCACCAAACATTTTTTTTTTATATGTGGTTTTTTTTTTTTAAAAAAAAAAATATTTTTTTTTAATAAAGAATATTAAAAATAAGGAAGTAGTACCAAAAAAATTTTTTTTTGGTTTCAGCAGTGTTGTACGTTGTTTTCAATTTTTTTTAGTGGGCCTGTCCCCCTTTGGAAAAATTTTCCCCCCCACCCCCCCCCCCCCCCCCCCCCAAAATTCCTGCCTTTGAACCCCCCCCCCCCCCCCGGAATTTCCAATTATCTTTTGTTGGGGGGGGGGGGGGTATGGATATTTTCTGGAACCACACAATCTATGTTTAATACATGTGTTATGTTTTTACAATAAAGATCATATTTGTTTAAGTATAAGAGATTCAAAGATGGAAGGTGTACCTACAAAAATACTGGGCCGAGCCACCTTAAAGGGTTAAACCACTGCATCGCACAGATAGCAGCCCATAGGCCCCACCCATTGGGGTCTAGTTTGCAGTAAAGAGAAGACCGGCATGGCGAAAAAACAATGTACCATAGAAACCTTGGCCGGGAAACTGGGCCAATTTAAAAAAGAGAAGCTTTTAATGCATTGTGCTAGACGACGAGTAGATTGGTTCATAAACTAAAATATAAAGCTGCTTTTTTCCACAGAACACGTTTTTATTTTCTTCTTAGCTCCTGAATTTCTGTTGTCTAGAGCTAGAGCAAATGTGGGACGCGGACGCGGACGCAGCCTAACCATCCAAACAGCGTGATGACAGGAGCGTAAATTTAGATAGTCGGTTCTCACGACTTATTTTCGATCTAGAAGGGGTTCAAAATGCCCGATAAATTCTTTGCTTTCTATATAATTAAGGGTTTAACCCTACTAAATACTTACTGGAGCCATTAACATCATTCTCGGCACTATCTGCAGCACTGCCATTAGCGACCTTGGAAGCAGGATCATGCAATGAAGGGATGGACAAGCGCGAAAGCACAGCCGATTCTTTCCTCAATTCTTTCTCACGTTTAATTTCCTCAAGTGATTTGACTGTCACTTTTTCCAAATCCGTAGATTCTAGGATAGAAGCTACTTTTAGAAAAAAGAGCAATTCGAATTTGTTTTAACAAGGTAAACATATCTTAAGCTCACCAGTTTTATTTTGGCTGATTCGAACGATCTTTCGTGGTTGGGTGGAACTCACAGGCGGTTTGAGGCGAGATTCTTTGCTTTCTTCGTTCGGTAAGGTTACCATTAAGTCTGTCTTTTGAAAAGTTTTTCTTTGCCCTCTTCCTCGACTACGAGGTGCTCCCTTTTTACCGCCTCGTAGACTCTGTTCTACCTTCATGCTACAGACAAGATGGAGCCCTTTCACACATTCGCAGTTCCATGTGACTAGAGTGGTTGCGCGGCCCAATGACCCGTTTTCGGCGCGAACCGACTTTGTCCTTATTCGGTAGTAAACAAAAACAGCTGGAGGTTCGGGAATTTGCGGTACCGTACGACGAAATCTTCGGTTATTTCGTTCCAGACTCCTGTCGATTTCTCTTATCTACGACTTGTTTTTCTTTCCCAGCTGTAGAGGAAAAGATGCGAGAACTCATATGATTTGAAATGAGCTGGTAAGCACAACGTAGTAAGACGAGATTATAGCTCCATAATGAGTGACAATTTTTTTTTCAAGTTAATGTTTTTATTTATATGTACTACACCTGATTCAGTTGTACACTAACGTTTCATAAACACAGCTGATCATGACTAGGACCGGTTGTTTTGTTACAAACCCGGGGTTACAAAGTCGTTTCGATAGGAACTCAAGCAGTAAAGCTGCACAAAAATTTCGTGCACTTCAAGTATCGTTTACTTGTGAACAAGGAGAACATTTTGGGTGATCGAATACAGTAAAACCCCGGGACTAAGGACCTGGATTTTAAGATTACAAACCTGTTACCTGCTACTGTTTAGCCTAAAAGGTGAAACCTTTTATTTTCTGAAATTTATGAAAAAATTCTGCACACTAGGGCAAATAAGATAATAATAAGTCGACATTTAGAATCCTCTTTGGAGACATAGGTAGACATAGCTGCAACATAATGTAAATGCCAATTATGTTTAAATCAAATAAAATTGTCATTGATACAATTACAAATCAAATAAGTTCTTCTTTTTCTGTTCGTTTTACCATAACTTCTAATTTGGTATGCAGATATTATAAGCTGAACCACTAAAATACTCTTACCTACATTGCATTTTTTTTCGTCAGAAAATATGAAACTTATAACTAGCTTATATTTGCGCTAACTACCATTTATATAAGAACCTGTTTAGGCTAACTTGGAAAAATCCAAGTCCTTAGTCGTGGGGTTTTATTGTATTCTTGGTTCTTTAAGCCAAGTACATGGAACTGTTTACAATGGTAACCAGTCAAGTTGCCCAAAAGTCATCTCATCCGAAACCAGAGTTAAATCGCCCGAAATGATAAGTCATGTCGCCCGAATTTTATCAGGTGAAGTGTACAGAGAAACAAAGTTAATTTTTGTTAATTAAAGAGTGTGTGTGATATATCTCTTTCTTTAAACCATCGTGAGTCAAAACAAACAGAACGAATGTGTAACATACCTCGTTTTTTAAGTGATGAGACAAAACAAGCAGTATATTAAGCGCACTTGTGTGTAATATACTGTATCTCGTTCTTTAACTGCCCTTGTTGAAAACGAAACAAGCACGATAAACGAAAAACATATCTCGTTCATAAATCTTTGATGAGACGGAACAAGGGCAATAAATGTGTAATAGGAATGCTAGGATGTTGATGAGCATGATAAAATTTTGGGCAACATAACTCAGCATTTCAGGCAACTTGACTAAAAACTTGGGGTGGCATAACGTCAGGCAAGATGTCTTTTGGGGGACTTGACCATACTGTTTATTCACTACAAGTGTAGTTTGCACTTGAACAAGAAAAACATTTTGGGTGAATATTTTTCATTCTTTAACTTAACTCTAGTATGTGGTACTATTTTTAACACCCTGAGTGAGTAAACTTGTATCGAAATAACTTGTACCAACACAACTTTGTATCGAAACAACCAGTAACTCCACATGACAAGCAAATACTAGCTAGTTGTAAATTTATTTGCCAAATTTGCACCCATTATGTATACAATGTGCTTTTCATTAAACAATAGGAATCCCTTCAGGAAATCAAAGCCCTCTCCGAAGCAAACGGTGAGTAGAAGTTTGCTTGTTTAGTACATCTCTAAAAATAGACCTTTGTACGGTTTTTTTCAAGTTCAAGTTTCAAGTTAGTGAAAATCTACAGGTCAACTCCACTGGAAAGAGCCCCTTTATCAATTATTGATCCTTAAGACGTATCACTTTCAAATTTCATTGGTTTACTAATAATAAAGCACTCTCTCTAGTAATATCAACGGATTTTCCCTAACAGGTCCATCTCGAAAGTTGATTAATATTTCAGTAATTGACAGAAACTAATCTCTTCTTTTCAATTTGATTGCATTGGGGCTTAGTTGTTTATGAACTTTTTTGTGCAAATGTGGCATTTATTCAAGGGTGGCGCTTAATCAGGGACAGCACTTATTTTAGTAAATACAGTATGCACCCTAGAGAAGACCTATATTGCTGCTGCTTGAAAGCCCAATATGACGCTCTAAAGAGACTTTCAAAGGCAGATAACCATTTTCGGAACTGGTGATTTTTGATTGCAATTAAGATGTCTCTCAGACCTCTCTGCTGCCGTCAGCTGAGTGTAACAGTGCCTGTTTGTTTCTTATAACCAACCTAAGTGATATTTCTATGAGTAACACTAAACATTTTTTTTCCTGGACACCCTTACAAGTGAGACCAAAATATGAAATTTATACCTGCACCCCAAAGCAAGATGAAGAGCATCCCTGTCTTTTTCATGGGGGAGTTGGCCTCTCTAAGTTGGAGCTGACTCTTTTAATAACATGTTTATAAACCAATTTGTTTTGATATGCTTTGAATTCATATTTGACTCCAAGGCTTGGGGAAACACTCTAGAGAAGTGTATCACAGTTTATTCATCCCTGAACTTTAAGGTGTCTTTTTCCTTTTATTTCCCTCAATCCCTCTACCCAAGTACATATGTATGGATTTTGTTCTTTTAATAGTTATCCATTGACATGAACTATGCAGTGTGCATGCAAGACAGTTTTATAAGGGTGATTTAAAACTAGCTTTCATCAACAGTTTTTTTGGGTTGAAACTGGTCATTTGTATATTCCAACCAGTGAAAAGTGATTTGGGGCAAACTGGTTTGTTCTTAACTAGTCACTCACTAAAATTGCTTGATGAGTGTGGTCCCTTTAGGCCATACTAAACAGAGCTGTGGCAATAAAGCTATGGATAAACTCTGAAGCCTGGAACTATCTTCGAATTGCATTTTTGCTCCTGAAAAGTTGAGCACTCTAGAAAAATTATTCTAACCAGTTCAGAAAATATATATTTTAATTTGGATGACTTAGTGGTATGAATTTTTCCATTCAACTTCAGGCTTCTACAGTGTATTGTGAAGCCGCATTATTTGTGGGCATTCTTTCCTAAATTTGTCAGACATTAAATTTTCAAGCATACTATTGACTTGTTTGGAGTTTACTAAAATATGACTAATTTTATAATATTGTCAATTAATGGTGATATGTGTTAGGTAACGTGTCGTCTTGTGTCTGCTTAACTTTTCTCTTAACTTTTGTAACAAATTTTGTTAATTATCTGTTTCCATTAGATTAACCTTTTCCAATATATTCCTGAAAGTGCCAAGGCATGTGATTTTACTTAGCAGTTCTGAATATACATACACTACCTGATAATGCATGTGTTAAAACTGTTGTCGGATTTCTCACAATTTACAAACATATTCTCTTTTATTTACATCACAAAATTGGCATTGAAACCAGCTGGTGTAAAATATTTTACCCACAGTACCACTCATCAAGACACTGATCTTGTTAATTATTAATCAGAGCCAATTTTCAAGTTCACTAATGCTTTCAATGATATGTTCAGGACACTAAAAGTCTTTAAAAATATTAAGTTCACAAAATCAGTCAAAAGAGGAGGTATCAACACAGCAGTTTTGAAATTATCTGGATTATTTCAATATCAAATACTTGGTTTAAGCAGAAAAAAGCACAAGTATATTATGTAAATTCAGTTGTAAAGAATTTTGATCAAAGCATCGGAAATTCTGCAAGCTGGTGCAACTTTGTTTTGAATTTGTGGAAAATTTAAAATATAATGTTTAGCTGCATGGGAAGAAGATCAAAAGTAAGAAGAAAATACAACACTCTTTGGGTAAGATTTTACTTTTCTGTGAGAGCTGAATTTTTTTCAACTGGTCTTGTTTTAATTTGTGTTGATGGGTATATTTTTTTTATTTTGATTTCTTTCAACGTGAGACACTGTTTAAGGTTGTATGGCACTGTTTACTTAAAATATATCATAAGAAATATTATAGCAGAATTCTAATTTACCGTTAACTTATTTTTGCCCTGAAATAAAGCACAACTTGGAAAACTGGAGTGGGATAAATCCGTGTGATGAATTTCAACATTAATTGATGTATCAAGATAATTTCTCTGTTTATCATTCAAGATAACAGACCTGTTTTTGCATCTCAGTGCATCATGTCATCATCACAGATGATTGAGAAATTTCTGGCTTTATGCAGTAGATAAGGAATGTTAGATAATATGCAGCAAATAACACAGTTCATTAAAGCAAAGCAGCATTGATCTTGTAAAAGAATTATGTGCAAATAATATCAGTACTCATTTAAACTAATTTTCTACTAGGGTGATAGAGAATTTGAAAGGGAGGTAGCCAGATTTAACCAGTAAGTACACTGTTTAAAATTGTGCTATACCAATACTTTAGACTTGCTTTATGAGTACTTTGATTATGAACATGTTGGTTGACTTTATCAGAAATATTTTTCACATTTCTGCAATCCTTTAAAGTGGCAGAGAAAACACCTCCCAATAGTTTTCTTTAACTTTCATATTTTGGCCATGAGAATCTTTTATCTGTCAGTCAGGGCCAAAAAACTGCTAACGTGATCAATTTGTGCATGCTACAATCAAAAGTGAATTTTAAGACTAAATCTAAATGTTCACTGGTTCTTGTTTATTGTCAGATTTATTGAATAAACACTGGTATTTGGTTAAGCCCAAGATAGTGAAGAGAAACAAAGTAGAGGAAAAACTTTGCATAACAGTGTATTTTTCTATCAATTTTATTCAGATTGGAAGGAGCAACCAAGAAAATTTATAAAGACACCAAAAAACATGGAGATGCTCTTTCAGGTGAAATAATATTATTATTTTATGTGGTATGCAC